TTTGCGCAGAAAAAGCGCGCCTATCATACTTGGACATAGCAGGACAAGCCCCACGTCGCCCGCCTAAGAGATGCTAGTTTTATCCCACAGTGCCTACTTGCGGTTGTGACGGGAAAATGGTGTGAAAAACTTGCCCGAAAGGACAGACTTCTGTCTCTGCTGCTTGCAAAACTCAACCACAATGAAACGGGCACCGGTTTCGTCCTCCAAGAATGAGGAAAAATGGGAACCTTAGGGATCCCACCAACAACTGCCCAGTACGTGCATCACAGTCAGTCTCCGGATGACGAACTGAAGAATCACCGAGTGGCGAAACAGCTTCAACCAGGCGTAATAACCGTTCTTCTACCGAGTCAGGCAATCGAACATGAGAACCGCTCTCAAAAAGAGCAGGGTAACAGCGGCGCAAGGGCCCATGCTGCGAACCAAAGCGTGACGTCGCACACTCGGGACACGGAACCTTTTGAGGGCCGACTCCTATGGAGAGTTTCTAGCAACACTGCAATTTGTCAGGCGCCCAAACAATCCTTTTTCACGACGATTTTGAGAATTTTTTTAAATAAATTGTGGCATCAGCAGTGGACTGGCCGCGCATGTGGGTAGCGCCGGTTTCCCACGTTTTATCCATCCTCGCCCTTTCCAAGCATCAAAGCCATCAATGGCCGTCAACCTGAAAAGGACAACCATCGGGTTTCATTGGATTCGCTTACCGACTTGACAAGTCGGGGCGATCCACAAGAGAACAAATGCAAAACCTGTATTCAAAGCCCATCACGCATGAACATGGGCGTGGCCGCTTTGTGGCAAAACCTTTGAAGTCCGATACGGGGCAACAGGATCTTAGGCACTGCTTTGAATTGACTACGAGGAGAAGTTAATTGTTTTTAAGGCAGCAGTCAGTTCGCTAGGTGGCTCGAATTTTTCGTGCCGCAAAACGTTGCAAAACACCGCGCAACCGGTATCTCCAAGCCCTTGGTGTGACTCAATCACCACCGCATGAGGAGCCCATATCACACCACCTTCCGTCATCGTTTGAACCAAGCTTGGATCAACATGTGCAGAGCACGAGTCGCCAGCGAACGTCACAAAGCACCCGCAACCGTTGACTTTGGTCACGTTCTCCCGGTGCATGGTGCAAAGAGAATAGCACCAGAAGCGCTCAAAGAAGCCTGTATACTCGGACAAGCTTTGAGTCTTCTAAAGGAGACATCAAACCGAAAATTTATTTTGAGAAGCCTACCATTGAGCTCTGCTGCAAGGTGCATGAATACCGCACTTGGATTTACAGTCACCGAACAACCGAAAGTCCCTCGCCCATCCTCGAGTAATCAGCCAGAAGCGGAACGCCAAGAGTGGCAGAGAGACCAACTTTTAACTCGAAGTCATTCCGCTGGCCTCTGAGTAGAACCTACCGAGAACAGACAGTGGATTGCATTGGGCTAGCCAGTGACTCACTTCGTCATAGCCATTGCAACAATAGAGCTCTCTTGAAGGAATTCCGTCAGTTGACAAGCAAACAGTGAAAAGCTCGGGCCGTCTGTTGTCCCATGGTCCAAGAAACGGCGCTTAAGGAGGCCAGGCCCACTTTGATAGGGATGGTTTCAAAGACTGAGCACACAGTAAGGGTGCGCGATAATCTTTCCTGACAGCGGTGCCAAAGCTTGATTGGAGTGCAATCCACTTCTCAACATAGTCAAATGACTTAGGAAAAGCTGCAAAGGGTCAGGGCAACAGCTCATAACCAGGAGGGGACTTTACACGCGCAAAAGGAGTGTTAAGCATCATTTCGGGAATCTTGAGAACCGCAATCCTGTTAGAGTCGGGCAGTGAGTAGAAGCAGAGGAACTTTCGTCGGAGTGTTTGGCATCAGCCAACAACACCTCAGCACGTTGATGGGCCGGATACTTGCCCAAGTTAGTGGCATCGTAGCCTCATTAAACGCAGATCGCATACGCACTTTACGACCGTTCTTTTGACTCTTCTCGAGCGCCCTGATGATGTTGATACAAGGGCAAGCGCAGAGAGTAGAGAGCGCATGGAAGAGAAAGAACAGGAACGTCACGCCCCCCAAAAACGCTTGCCAGGCATGTTTGGGCAACTTATGGATACGTGTTGAAGTAAGGATGGGCCAGGACCACCCAGGCGAGTTCAGGATCATTGACACACTATGTCAAGCGACAATAGATCCGTGCAAAGACGGGTCGCAAGTTGTTGGATGCACCTCATCATATTCAAAGGTGATGTCAGCTAAGTTGCTCGGACAATCCACTGCGCAGACACGACTTTAAAAGAGCTTCAAGCAAGCAGACGAAAAAGAGTACATCGTTCCAGCGTGTGATTGTCTGCGAGTCCGTCTGACTGTGCGCCATGTGGTCAAGGCTGAAATCAGAGAACAATCTGCTGCAAGTCCCAAGTAGCAAAGACAGTCCACTCTACGTATGTTTCTCGCCCCAAAGTCTTGCGATGGGTCTGATAGTTTGAACCCCACCCGTGCTGAGCCACAGCACAGTCGTTCATCCTAGCCCCGCAGCACACAGCTGAGAGGAAATCACCATCGAGATACAAGTAATGGTCCGATCGTCGAACGCAATGAAGAGAACCAATCCGGACTTCGCTGAAAAGAACTTACCGAAATGCTACTGTAGCGAGCGGCGTCTTTAGACAAAAGTCTTAAGCACGTGGAGCGCTTCTTGAAGGCGCTTCGACTCCGAGTGCAAAGCTTTGCGCGCAAGAACAAGGCAATTCGGCTGAAAAGAGAGAGTCTTTAGGTAACACCAAACAGCTCTCACTGCTAGAGTGCTCGCTTCTAGTGGCTTCTTGATTCACACGTGGTCGCAAATGAGCAGGCCGGGCACTCCACAACTGCCCGTGCAGAAAAGGAAAGCGCAATTGAGCAGGTTTAGTCGCAAGTGAGCGGCTCTCCCAGATCAAGCAACCCACAGGCACCAACGACGAACTGCAAACTGAATCGCGGAGCCGTGACTGGGTTGGGTCTGGATCGCGGCTCAAGGAAAGAGCTTCCAAACGCTTTTGAAGAATCGACCTCCAAACGTCCATCAAAGTTTCGGCCTAAGTACCGAGAATTGCAGAAAAAGGTAAGTGAGAGAGGGTTACGACTTGCGACTTGCTCGTGGATGCAGAAGTCTATCAATCTAGATGTTCTGAACTCGTGGAGGACGACAACTAGAGAGAGAGGCACGAGCACGTCCGCTACGACTTCCCTAGCATCAGACCAAACTTCAGCATGAGTTAAGAAACTCAAGGACCTGCCGTCATAGCCAGGAGTTAGTGAACGTTGAAAGTCAAAGGATAACGAATGTTGTATGGGATGACTTCCAAACATTGGATCCAGAAATGTCGACGGATTAAGTAAAAAGATTTCGCTTCTCTCCGCTTTAACCCCTCACCTCCACTGCAAAGGGGTCTTTGCACAGAGTCAAACGCGTCAGGTGGTAGTCCGCATATCAACCCGTTTGAAACCGTCGTTCTTGTCAACAATCCTGAAAATGTTGGTTGACCTTTGTACTGAGTCTGTGAGATCGAGGACTGTGCAGCTTTTTGAAACAAAGAGGATGTTCGGAGCGGGAAAATTAGCTGTCACGGGAAAAAAACAGTTATGCGTGCTTTAACCACCTGAGTCAACCAGCTCACATCCATTAGCCGGCCAATCGACAAACACCCAAATATTCAGTCCACGTCTTTCTAAGAAACACAACGCGAGTCATTCCAGCCAGGCTGGGGACCGTTTCGTTATGACAAGCCATGTGACATCCGCCCAGGAAAAGCAGAAATCAAATCGCAGACAAAGCGGTAGTACGTAATCACGAAACTTTACACACTGCAGAACCCGCCAAGCTTGAAGCGGCTGACCTTTGATAACAACAACTCATAATACTTGGAAAAAGTCAAAGGCCAGGTAAATTGCAAAGAATCTGCACGGAGCCCAGGCTCGAACAGCCATCGGAGGCAGCAAAGCGCTCTTGAGTCGTGCGACTCACTTTCAGCTCGTAACGGCCATATCATCCACATTTGATAAGCGCCGTGGATTCCTTCAGCGGCACTAACAGGGTAAGCACAGTAAGCCTCCACAACTTTCTGAAAGGACAATGGTTTGAAAAATCCACACACAGCCGTGGCTTTCTTATCTTACTTGTGCTTCGATATTCAGATGCTCCATACGCAAACACGTTCCCATTCCAGATGCATCAACCGGAAGATTTCGGCTCAAGAGAGGGCCCCGACTGCAAGTGCGTCTTTGCAGGATTACAACGACGCTTTCAGAGTGTCTCAGAATGTGCAAAGGACGAACAGCAACTCACGGGAACGCAATTGCTCTACGACACGTCAAGTTCGTCCACTACAGAACTCGCTAACCAACACTCTCTGGAGGAGCTTCGTTAGATTTGAAATTCCTGTGCGGGATGCGCCCGACACTGGTGTTCAGAAAAAGAGAAGCCGATGAGGGCAAGACGCTGATTGAGATCAGGCATCTCAAAGAGGGCCAAGACTTCACTTATTTTGAGGTGAATCTCTACCCCTCATCACACCCACCGCAATCATGAAGGAATCTCACCCGCATACCCAACAGAAGGAGAGAAAAAAGACCTTCCAAAGCACAGACAGAGTCTTGAGTTGCAAAGCAAAGTACTCAATGAGAGCAATCAAGTGGGGAAAAAGACGAAACCACATGAAGCTGTGCGGTAGGGCCCAGTCTGTCAACTAGAGGGAGGGGATGGGTCTAGTCTGAAGAATATGCTGGCACTAACGGCCTCAACATCGTGTTGCCCATGGCAAAGAAGAAGTGAAAGCCAAAAGACGCTTCTCTTATCATTCTCGCCGTTTCTTACATCTCACCCCAAGCCAAGCATAGAAATTTGTCGCTCTCTGTCACCCATCTTGACCCATAACTAATGATACATGTGGCATCAGAGGACGATAATACGTGACAGAAAGAAGGATTTCCGATAAATTGGATGACAGAGACAGATGGAAAGGCTCACCGTGCCGGTAGTCCAGGCCGTCGCTCCAGAGCGCCCGGCGCGCCAACACGTCCAGCACAAAACCCGGCGTCTTTTCCGGGAACACCGCTTGGTCGAGCGCGATGTGGCCCTGTAGGCAAGAAGCGCTGTTCCTCGAGGCCAAAGATCTCAAATCCGAACATGGTAGCAGTTGAAGCCTCGTACGCAGAAAGCCCAGCATACCAGACGTGTCTGCGACCAATCCCCGAGCAGGGCCCAAAGGAATGAGAACACAATTGGCTTGCTGCATCCGTTTTACGGGCGGGAAAAGAGAGCTCGAAAGGAGCTGTGTACCGCGACGGGGCGCTGAAAGCGCTCATTTCAACAACCGGATTGACCTTGATTTTCAGCGCAAGCAGCGGTTCGGATTTACGAGTTTTGAGATGAATATCGATGGAGGTAGACCACGGATAGACCAGCTGGGGAGTCCAGAAAGTGATGCCCTGCAAGGGCAGAACATGGCCGACAGCATGTGACGTCAGGGGAGCTGGCATCGGTCGGAATCAGGGCAGAGAGCACAAGCGCCACGACCAGCACTGCAGCAGCAATCTCGCAGTTCGATACCGTCTTACCGTGCCCACAAGCCTCACAGAACCCATTGAAGGAGAAAGTGGACCACAGTTTTCAATTCTGGACCCCCACACCAATTGGTAGTCTATGTACGCGTGGCTCAAAGACTGGTTACTTTTCTGGTCACCCGGTCGCTTGGCTTTGGCCCGCCCAGTCACAGTCTAGTATTTGCATGCCAGGTATTCGAGCCCCCGGTGGGTTACGATCAGTCAGTCAAGAGCAGACTAGTCAAGGCTACGTTACCGCTCAAGCTACACCTGAGTCTTTCGAAGCTCGCGCACCGGGTAACAGCTGTTGTGCGGGTCCAGAACTGAAAACTGTAGTCCGCGTGCTCCTTCCACGGGTTCTCACACTCTGCTTCTTAAGCGTCAGATTCCTCGCGACCATGATAGGCCTTGCTTCATCGCCAGTATTGCTGTGCGTTCCGTTAAGATCTCGTCACTAAAAAGATCTTAGCTCACAAATCCCAGTGAGGGGATTCAACAACGCGTGACAAAAGAAAGATGACCAGAATGTGACCCCTCCAGCTGACGTCATGCTTACCTGCAGCACCCTCGTCACGGCCTCCTTTTGCCGCGACGACGGCTCCCCGAAGTGGACCGTCCGGGTGACGTCAGTCGTTCCGTCCACGTACTGAGCGCCGCTGTCGAGGAGGAACAGCTGGCTGCTGTCTAACGTTCTGCAAAAACGTCAAAACAGCGCACTTTCAGTCCAAATCTCGCATAATGCGACTACGTGAATCGATCTTTTCGAAGCATCGAACAATGGGAAGTGGTCGTCAATGAACTCTTCTCTTGTTGGTGCCGTACACAAAACTTCCGGGGTTGCTGCACAGGCCAAGCGGAGAACGAACACCGCCCGAAGGAGAGCCAAATAGAAGCAGCAAAGAAGAAACACTTGCGCAGCCTTGGAAGAACCTGTGTCAGTCACACTGACGATCGTGTCACAATTTTGTGTGCCACGTAGCCGAATAGCAGCGCCACAAAGAGCGGTTCGCAGCGCAAAGAGCCCACCTGCATGTTCCCTCTTCCGCCCGGTAATGGATGACGGCCCCGTTGGGTCCAGCGCCCGCGATGGTGTCAAAGGACGTGTCCAGAAAGCCAGACTGCTCCTTTCGGAAACCCTCTAGTTTCTCCGCAATTTCTACCTGCACGGGCATGGGTTGCAACCCAAGCTCATTGCCTCTTTCATACTGAGCACTGCAGGTTGACGTTTACAAGAAATAGGCTTTATACGAATAAGAAACGGTTAGGCTTCATACCAATAACAGGCACGAAACACTACAGTGCGCCAAGCAAAGCTGTAACGCTGAAGCGAAAAGTCAGTGAGGCGGTTGCAGTATCACTGCGAGTAACAGAAGAAGGTAGATAGAAGAGCGGGTGAACAAACGCGCGCGATTGCTACAAACCCGAAAGAGAGAAAACGAAAGCTTCAAAATAGAAACCTTCAGACAGAGTTCCAGGTGGCTTTTGTACGATCAGGTGTCTGGCTAGCTTCAGCCTTGCCGCAAAGAGAAGATTAAGGAGATAGGAAACATGTGAAAGAATCAAAATGATACAACAACAGCGAAGAAGAGCCGCTCTCTCATGCCATTTATAACCGGTCCCACATCTTGCATAACAAACCCGAAACTTGACCAAGCGCTTTCTTTGCACAGAATCTAGCAAAAGGCTTTCAAAGAAGCCATTTTTCGCCATTTCTTTAGGAGTAACACACGCAACTACTGAAAGCATGTGTGTTACTGCTTTTCAATGTTGAAAACAGTGGAGAATTGACGACGCTATAGCACTCCGCCTTTTGCGCAAGCAAGGAGGACGTCATTGCCAAACCCTACAACGTGTGGGTGCGATTGCTCGATGATCACATGGCAGTGCCAGATGTGGGACCGGATATAATCGGCATGAGTCTGCTGATGTGCTGCTCCGAGGTGAACTTGCTTTGAGACCAAGAGAAGCGTGGGGGCGGCCGCATCTCGACACAGGACCACTCGTCTATCCCATCGATGATTAGACTTTTTCTATTCTGGCTCCACATCCTTACGCAAACCGGAAAAAGGCCGCTGTACTGACCTTCGAAACGGACTTCTTCTCGTGCACAACTGATTTCTCGAGCCAGGCCCATACTTTAGGCGCGGCCGCTTCTGATCTCAGCAGATCGAAAGCATATGATCGAAAGCATATGAAACACGAAGTAGCGGAGCAGAGCAGTTGTGATGACCTTTGGCGGGGGCGGCCGTTGTCCTAAAGCAGGAAACAAAGTAAGTGAAACACCAAAAACCAGCCGCAGGTCTGACCTCCAAAATGGACTTCTATTCTTAGACGATCAGGTGCCCAGAGGTTCGTTAGGGCGACCGTATCTCAAAAACGAACGGAACTAAAGATGACAAGAGATTCAAACAGCGAAAGAGCCGCTGTTCTTACCTCCGAGATGGACTTCCTCTCATCCACAATCAGGTTCTCGAGCCAGGCCCAAAAGTTGGCCAGAGCGGCCGCGTCTCGCAGGTGCGCCTGCCGCATCCCCTCCAGTTCGCCCTCGTTCTTGATCGCCTTCGCAGCCGTGATTGGAGACGAGCGGGCTGTCACATCGACAAACACGCTTTAGTTTCTCCGAGCATGAGGTGGGTCAAAGTTACTTCCTAGTTTCCGGTTCTAACCCCCTTCTGGGTGGGTCGGTCGGTCGGGAAAAGATAATAGGTGGTATCATGCTAGTTTATTTAGAGTGTACTTATTTACCAAAGAAACCGGGGTCCAACTTCGGATGGCCTAAGGAAGTTTCGGCCATTCGTGAAACCACCTGCTTGCAGAAAACTGACAACCCTCGCCCCTGGCCTCCATGCGTCTCAACAGTACCTGCAAATACTATTACAACTTACGGAAGCTATGCAAAGTGACGCACTTAGAGTGGAGCGCTTTTTCGCCCGCGGTCAGTTCAAATCGCTGTGCTTGATCGCTGACGTCATCACCCAGGCGGTCGTACGAGCTAGTGTGGCTGTGCCTGAGAGCCGACGATCGGTATCGTTGGACGCTCGACCTGCCGTTCTGGTAGTGTTGGCGATTGAAAGCGCAGCGCCCATAACGTTTGGATTGACGATTTATAAGAGGCAAATCATTGGCAGCCTCCTTGTTGCTCCGTTTCGTTACGGCTCGTTGATCGGCTTCGCCCTCTATACCAGGCGGGCGCTCTAAGGATTGTTTGAAAGCTTCGGTCCACGTCTTCCTTACCCTAATGGTTCCGGCTAAGCAGAAGGCCCGCAACCGCCAACGGAAGAACGTTTGGCTACCTTGGTCCAGTGACCGGTTTCTCACAACAATCCTTTTCAGGCAGCCAGTCGTATCGTCTCAACCGCTTTTTGGAACATTGTGAGGACGGGCAGCTTAAGAAAAGCAAACCTCGAAGTCAAAATGAGTCACTTGCTGTCCTTGCAGAGCAAAGTCCAGCGAGACCTCGGATGACATTGCAGGCCTCCCATGCTGCAAATGAGCCGACTCACATATGATAGCCGGGCCGCCTAAGTCTCCATCCTCGCTCCCCTTCTTCGCTTTCTTCTTCTTTCCGTCGCCCTTCTTCTTCGGCTCGTAGTACTTGTCCACCGCGTCCTGGTAAGACTTGAACACCGCCGCACTAACACGCTCGGGATCCATCATGGCGACCGCCCCGGCCGCCGCATACTCTGCCAGGTCGCCGAGAAGGGCGGTGTACGGCCTAACAGTGACGTTTTCGCTCTGCATAAAAATATTGGACGAATATTTGTCAGACGGGCTGAAGTCAAAAAGCCACCAACTCCCATTAAAAAACCTGCTTATGAGATAATCTGGCAAAAGAACCCTCGCGAATGATAGCAAAGGGCGGTATACTGCGGAGAGTCCCGACTCCCCCAAAGCGGCAAGGAGCTGTTGGGTGGCCTTGTCGTTATCCTTCCGGTCTTCCTCTGAAAGATTCGACCACGCCGGAACCCCCCAGTCCTCATTCGTGAGTAAATCACGAATGCGATCCTTCGTCCACCGTTGCTCCGTTCTGCGGTCATAAACAATCTGTTCGCAGACCGCCGCGGGAATGTAAGATCGACCTCTCTGAAAGCAGAGTCAAGCTTCTCGTCGCGGGAGCTGCAGTGCCATCCAGTTGTGACGAGTTCAAAAGCATTGGATACATAACCCCTTCGCGAGTTCTAACCTGGACAGTTACAAGTACAGCGGTTGGTCTCATGTAGATAGCATGAAAACTAGGAAGAATCCCGCAGTCGACGCACATGTCAGGCAGGAATCGATGGAACGGGAGGGAAGGAGTGCCACAACTCACAACAAGAGCACATGCTTTTGTCTTCTGAGAACCCGGCTGGAAATGACGCGAACGATAGGGGGGCCGACGTCCATCCGCATAACAGAGCGTGCGTCCATCAAAGCGCTGATTCCTATCCACTAAGAGCAGTCTGACCAAAACCACAGATGCAACCTGCTCCAGCTAAGAACAGTTCCGTTCTGTTCCGTTCCGTTCCGTTCCTAGGTGTGCCAACAACGAACTGTGAGGTAGATTGTGTTCCAAAGTAGCGAGGCAGGGTTTACCATGCGAATTAACTGGCCTGACTTTCGGAGGGTAAAAAGGAGGAGGGAAGATCCAAGATAACAAGAGGAAAGTGTAAGAAAGACACAGCCTGCCAATTGACGACGGAGCCCCAAAACCCGTCAGCACAAGTCAGTTGCTAACCAAGCAAATCTATGCGAGATAGCTGCGTTTCTCGATCTTCCCGCTGCAGAGACATGAAAGAAAAAGGAGACTCTCTGTACAGATCCGCTTACATCAAAGTGCTCCGCAACCTCGGGCGTCACTTTCTCCGGCTCGACGTATAGCCGCGCGCCCTTATCGTCCACCACGGCATACGCTATGGCCACCGGGCAGTGAGGGACGTCGCCCCCTCGTATATTCAGCAGCCACGCCACCTCGTCTAACATCGTCACAACCAGAATTTTGGCACCCGCTTCCGCCAACTGCTTTCGGACGTCCGCCAACTGCGACGACAAGGCCAAAAAAAATCACGCAAACATTTTCTGACAAGTTTTTCAAATCGTAAGGTCTTTGTTTGCTTTTTGAATGTTCGTCAGCATTTGTACGCCCTTCAGAATGCGGACACCTGCACCAGCTCCTTCCGGACGTCCGCGAACTGCAGCATACGATCAGAAGATGGTTTTGAACGGGCTTTGACAACCTCGACAACGAGCCCTTCCGTAATCACTTGTTAAAAGAAGCACTTCATTCGACATTCTTACGACCCGCCCGCCTCCTCTAATCGCTTCTGAACGTCCGCCAACTACGACCACAGACGAACGTAGTCAACTGGGTCTGTTCACTGAAGTTTTTGATGGACTTTTCCCAAAGTGAGGACTCTTCCGTTATGGAGACCCGCCCCAGCGTAGCAATGACTAGCGTTTGGGCGCCTGCATCCATCAGCTATTTTTGGATAACCGCCCATAGCGAAAACAAGAGAGAGAATAGGACTATCTTCACCGCCTGCCTTTGTTTGGCGCCCCTTCGGACTTAGTGACCAAGCTCGAATCGCAAGAATATTTCGAAACAGGGACGTGGCTCAAAGATACTGGGAGTCTCCTACTATCTCAAATTGGTCCGGTCTCCTAATTGCACAAATGTCCAAAGCTCACGACCAGTCAGAAACAATTTAAATAAAGGGACACCAAAGTGCAAGGTCCGAATATGCTGCAAATTTTTCTGCTCACCTTCGAGCCCACGTCCTTCCCTGCATACTTCAGCGGGTGCACTCTCAGGGGCGCCTGCGGCGGCGCCGGCCGCCCTTCTCCCCATACTAGATCCACCAAGTTGTTCTCAGTCAGCGGCGTCAGATACACATCTTTGGCCCGCAACGTCTCCCCCAGAGACCTAGCATTCTCTGCTGAATGTAGGAACGGGTCGATCCCGACTTTCGATTTGGGGGGAAGGGTTTCAGCTAGCCAGTCCTCTAGGTTTGGGACCCCCGGTTGAGCCGAGCGCATCAGAGTCCATTCCCACCCGAGCTGCTTCTCAGCCTGCACAGAGAGAGCGGCTGGTGGTGTGAACGGGCTGATCATGTGATGATTGCAACTCCCTGGAGAAGAGGAGTGATCGTACTCAATTGCGGCCAAGATGATGCTGGTTATGAATTCCACTAGAGGAGGGGGCAGTTTGAAAGACAGAGCCTCACTATGTGTAAAGCATTGCTAGGAGCCCGCAAAGGAAGAGCAAGACTGGGCCACTTTCAAGGGGACTCTAGAAGTGCCAATCGCACCCTATTTCCCAGTTATGTCAGGCGATGCGCCGCTGTCTACTGCCTTGGTGTTCGAACATGATGAATCTTGATGAAGCATCCAAGCGGTCAACCTTGTCAAAACCCCAGTCTTCGTTGCAAAAGCACACATGCTTAGGCAGGATTACAGAGCACTTCATTCTGGTCAGAATCTTCCAAGTCTCCAGTTGAGATCCCAAGCACAGTCGATCTTTCCTCGGAACAAAAAGCATGCACACCTGCAGAAAGTACCGGCCATCGGTCCACAGCGCCGCCTTCTCCTTCGTAACCACCGCTGTACCAGCCGACCCCGTAAACCCCGATATGTACACCCTCCGATTGAAGCAGTCTGCACTGTACTCGCTCTGGTGCGGATCCTCTGACGGGATGATGTAAGCGTCGACCCCCGCTTTCGTCAGCAGCTCCCTAAATGCTGCCAGCTTTTTATCCGGATCTTTCTTATCGTCCTTTTTGGAGGTGGGTTTTGCAGCAACTTGTTCGGGGGCGCATTGACATCGGAAAGAAGTGCTGAATCCTCTTCTTGATTCCAACCGTCTGATGCTGTTCGTCTGGAAAGCATGCTTCAAAGTAGGAGAATGACTAAGAATGGAAGACTGCTTAGAGCAGGTTATGAGAGCGGCCACACTTTTTCTACCCCCCAAACCCTCCGACCATGCGAGTGAACGGCCCTTCTTCGACAAGAGGTTCCTGTTCATGAACGGTGTCACAGAAGCGGAAAACGAGCTGGCACACCCGTCTGTGGCACCTGACGCCACCGAGGCGGCCCCATATCTCTGCGCCCTGGATGCGGCGCGCACCCCAGTCGCCATCTTGAGTTTCTGGGACTCTCTAATTGCTGCCTGCTCAAAATGCCTCCTAAGGAGCTGGAAGTGTCTTCCAAGAGCGGGCCAGCAAAAGGGGGCCAGCGCAACTGATCTGAGCTTCCAATAAAAGAGGAATTGTGAAGGTCCAGCGCTCTTGTGGAATTCTCAGTTGAAAAGGGAGAAATGCTGCTAGCATCACCACATCAGCAGCATGCTCAGTCGAACCTTGCGCCCATTGAATGCTGATGTCATGCTTTTTCGTCCGCATTGGACGCAGAGAAAGTGAGACATTTCCTTGAACTTTTCGGGCCGTCCGAAAGTGCACAACAGGGCCTGGGGAGCTTGCACCGAGCTACCGAGCGCGTCACAATAACTGAGTCATCTGACTGAGCGGAGCAGCCGACTGGCCGGGCTTCTCTACCGGCCAGAGCAGAGAGTTTCAGCAGAAAATGGCGGGAAGCGTTGCGAGTTTGCGCGCCGTCTCCTCTACGAGTTGTGCAACACCATGCCCGGTATATTGTTCAAAAAAGGATGGGGATGATGTGACCCGAAGAGGAGCGGGGCCTCGCTGCCACGCTGGCATACTTCAAGGGATTCCAATGCAGGGACTCAGCCACTGCAGTTTCCTGCCGTTGCTCTGTGAAACTGTGAGCAGCACACAATGCAGGCGCATTCTTTTCGTTAGTGGTTGTGCATTGGCACCAGGTCCGCCTTTTTGGCCCCTACGAGACTGAGAAGTCGGTGCATTTGGAACAATGGCGGCTCCACTGACGCCGTACGAGCTGGAGCGGTTGACCAAGATGGAGGCAAACAGGTAAGCGCCACAAGCGCGACAGCTGGAAGATCAATATGTGCTGTGCAACGGATTGAGTAACATGAGATCATGAACCTCCTAGTAATCCTGCACGGATTGGTTTGGGGTTTGCTTGCCGATCAATGCAATGAGTTGGACAAGCCCCACTGCCTTACCCTAGCTTTTTTCTTAGAACAACTCAGACTAGACATCATCCCCGCTGTCATGCAATACTGTTTGACCACTGGTCAAGAAGTAGCTTCTTTTTGATTGGCTTTAGTGTCAATTGTGCATTCTGTTTTCAGACGTCCATACCACATTGACCGGTGAATTTCATCTTTGTAGACTGCCTATGCACAAACAGGCTCATCTCATAGAAACCAATCCTGTTCAGCTCTGTCTGCATCTTCTCTGGACTTGAGAGCTTACTTCCCAGTAACCACTGCTGCTTCTGTTGGGATTGATTGCTGTCATCCCAAGTGAAATCAGACTCGGGATTACTGCTGATGGATGACCATAAAAGAATCAGACCTGCCTACTGTGAAGAGGATTCTTTCTACGGAGAGCAACTTTTAAAGATGTCGCTTTCTCAGTGCCCCTCCCAGGCAATCCTTGCAGGACCAAGCAGTTGGTAGACTCCACAGGTTCACTGGAATACTGCAGGCCTTCTCAACTCTCGTCAATATGTCAACGCAGCAAGCTTCACCGTGTTGACCATCGGCCTACTATACGCTCGACCACCTTTTACCACGCTGAGTAGCCCTTGCTAAGTCTCTTCACTTTCTCACTATGTTCCGTAGGCAATTCTTGGAAAGCCTGGGGGTCGATGATGCTGTACGGAAGTTAGATAGAGCGATGAGCACCAGTAGAGTGCCTCGGCGCAACCCTGGGCCTAGGAAGGTGGCGGCGCCTGCGCCAATTCGTCCAACCAGAAGATCAAGCAGGTGAGGAGCAGGGAGGAAGCCGAATGACTCTGAATTGAAGGGACAGGCACATTGCATTGGAGACGGTGTTCAAAAATGTCATTTCTAGGGAGCCTTGGGAATCACGGAAAGTAGAGTACGTCAGTTGCAATAGCAATGTCGTCGACGGGGCATGCAGAGTCTCAACTTCTGAAATTGGAGTAGGCAATGATCTGAGCTCGATATGGACCTCAACTCGGAGGATTTTGAGTGTTTTCGGTCATAGGGTGTTCATTGCTTGCTCTGAACCCGCTTTACTGGCGACTTCTCTGATAAGTGCCCAGATAAGGACTGAGGAGTTCTTGATAGCGCCCAACAAAAGCTCTCAAAGCCTTACACCCGTAACCTCTTTGTTGCTGGTAGAAAGAAGGTTACTAGCAATGGCCTTTGTATGAAGACCTAGCTCAGGATCAGCACTATCAAGCAAAGGTCCTTTGTACCTAAGCCCACATTGCCCCCCAGAACAAACTTAAAAGCCTCAAATTCTACAATCTTTTCTCCGCTCCTTCAGGGTCGGGGGCAAGAACGTCGTGGTCTACAAGGAGCTCTCCGAGCAAGACGTCCGCCTGATCGACGGTCCGGAGCCCAAGAAGGGGGGCAGGCGCAAAAGGGCCTCAGCGGAGCAACCCGTCCGAGCATCTTACGGGCCAGAGCTGTACACTGACGAGCACGAAGATGCGCTTGGGGAGTGTCAGGAGGAATGGGTTCTATTTCAGGACGGGTATACCGAGGAAGGGACGCGAGTGTATGATACAGTGCAGGGGAAGACGTGCCACCAGTGCAGGTAAGACAGAGCGGTTCCTTCCCATTCAACTGATGTGTCTGCAATGGGAGTCTGATCTTGAACATTTTTGTTCTTATTCTAGCTTAAGGCCCTCAAACACTTCAGCGACTTTGCGACAACCTGTACCTTGGACAGAAAGCACAGTGAGAGAATGGGTCTTGCAGCCTCTGTGCCTCATCCTTCTCTGCCCGGTAGAGGGATGCACAGCTTTGAACGAGCTGCAAAAAGCAGCTGCCGGAACTATATTGACAGGACAGCCGATCATCTGTGAGCGCAGGCAGAAGACTTTGGGGAAGCGCACATGGTGCAATGGCTGCGAGTCGCTGAACGGCCAGTTCTGTGGGGACTGCCTGTACATGAGGTGAGTGCGACTCTTTAACGAGTACTTGTCATGTGTGGGGTATCAGATAGGGACAGCAGTCTGGAGTACTAAGACTATTTGATTCAGGGTGCTGGCCGAGCATCCCAGAAATGCCTGACATGTTCGCAGGCGTGGCGACTTGTAAGGTCATCTCAAACGGTCATGTTCATGAGTGTCATGCTACAAGATTCGACTGAAGCTTTTGTGGTTGGTTGAACTTAAGCTTAGGACTGCAGAGATTTCCGTCGCTCATTGTCTATTGGCCTCGAAGCTTAAGACATGCATCAGTTTCGGAAAACTGATTATTCAGTTCAGTCTGCTTGATGTTTCCTCTGCCATGCTTGGACCACTCACCGATGGACCGTAAATTCCTCCCAGGAGTTGACGGCACTTGAGTGACAGTCCGCTGAATAAACCCTTTCTGACTTGCAGGTATGGTGAGAATATCCTGGAGGTGAATGCGAACCCGGAGTGGAACTGCCCATCTTGCAGGTCGGACCCGCTTACGGTCATGCTCTTTCTTTACATTATTAGTGGGCTTGTCTCCTCCTAGCTTCTTCTTTCCCTTCTTTTGGTCATCCCGTCAGTCCCTTCTATCATCGAGCATTTTCTTCTTTGTGCGTGTCCACCTCAACTTTGTGTATAACTTGGTGATGAAACGAGGAGTCGTCTTGGTTCGAAGGCTGCAGCTTTGGCGACGTTTGACCTTTTTCATAGACTTCGTGTTGCCACGGCAGTTCCAAAAGGTCTTGTTGATGTGTCAATTCGCGCACTTTTCGTATCTTGAAACGCCCTTCTCGTTCCTGCCCCTGTGTACGGAATTTTCCCCCAAAGTGGTCGTTCGAGAAGCCTTGCCACTCTTGTTCTAAGGCATCTCAACCGTCTTAATGCAAACCACTTGAAGCATGGCCATGTCTTGCGAAAAGTTGTCGACGGAAGAGTCCCTTTTGTCCTAAAACCTGACCGGTTTAGATGCAGTTGATCATGCACAGTCTATGCCGGCAGAGTCGATCGACAGCATCTTGTCTTTCCAAAAACGAACAAGCAAATGCTGACGTCAACAATACTTGCGCAGGGACCTGTGCAACTGCAGCATCTGCCGAAACCGCAAGGGCTGGGGTCCGACCGGACAGCTCTACCGAACGGTGAGCCGACCACGTCTCAAATCTTTTTGATTTTCCTTGGGATTGGTACAAAAATTTCTGATATTCTGAAGCCGCCTCCATCGTTCCAACCCAATGTCGCTTTTTAAGTCAGCTCGGTCCCTCTTTACACGTGCTCGGGAGCCTAACAAAAACGAGATGGACCAGATCGAGCATATTCACACTTCAGTTCGTCGGAAGGGAGTCGCCAATATCTGTTGGCCGGCTGGACGATACCCTTCCTATCAGCCCGATCGAGAAATTGATTCTGTACTCTCCCCCTCCGCAAAGCCAAAGATGCGTGGTGGGCTTTCCGAGGCTACCCGCTGCTTTCAGAAGCCTTGGTTTTTATTGAAGCGTCGCTCCTTTGGGCCGATCGGTAGTCACTGCATTGTCCGCCTTTGCAAGACGTCCACCTTCTCAACTTTGCCCAGGTCTTGATGCTCCTTCGAAAAGGAACATGAAAGGGTCTTTAAAAGGGTGCGTAGCTAGCCGTAACGAACATTCGTTAGAGGCAGAGTCTCGCGCTGATTTTTCCTATTTTGCCCAGGCCTCGAACAGGGCTACCAGTCCGTCGCCCACTATCTAGTGACCTCATCATTTCCGAGAAGGTGTGGGTAACTAGCCATAAACTAGGTCCTATTGATAGATTGTCTAGTATTCATCCTTCTCCTTTTTCCAGGCCCTCGACCAGGGCTACAAGTCCGTCGCTCACTATCTGGTCGCCACCCGGAGGGCTCTCCCGACCACTCCAAGTGCCTTGAAACCGTCTGCTGTCGCTCCCCCGGTCGCTTCTACCGAGCACTTCGCTGACGTCATCCCCAAGCCATCCCCTTCGAGCCCTGCGTCAGTCATAACAGACGTCGAAACCAACTTCGTCGGTGGAAAGATTGGGAGTCAAAAAGACGGTGACAGCTCCCCTCCCATGTCGGACGTCAGCGACGAAGTATTTTTCCTCGACTGCCCGAGTCCGGAGAGTGTCAACGCAGAGAGCTCTGCCGGTGGCTCGGACACGGTTAACACCAGATTTACCCACATCGCCCAATTCGGACAGAAGCGGAATATGGAACTTGGCAGCCCAGGGGGCAGCAGCTGCGAGTCGGGGCTCAGTAGCGAAATGGCGACCGGGGGAAAAGGAGAGATTCTGGAGCGGAAGTTTAGGAGCCTTGAGGAGATAACGGGGGGCGGGAGGCCCGTCAAAAAGAGGAGGGGCGCCCGCGCGCGCAGTAGCTGCAGCCGCTTCGTCGACTTTGTGTAGGTGGATCTTCCGTCAATGACGTCAGAGTAGAGACCGTGGTGGTCAAAGTCGACCGTGGTGTTCAGAGTTGGAGCTTCAGACACGTGGGTGCGAAGTGGACGACTTTTGATAGTCAAAAGTGTGGTGCACTTTGGGAGAGACGGAGATCGATGCGGGAACAGAAGCTTTAAGCCCACTTTCGAGCAGACTGATCGCACTTCGAAGGACACTCAAAGACCCCGGGGGTTAGACAGTGGCTGCTAGATCTTCTGGGTTTTGGGCAGCCACTTTTCTTCGCGCTGTCTCTACCCTGTAGGAAAATTCTTTAAATTGTATGGAAGTAGGAAAGCAAGCTCGTCCTCTGCGAAGGACTAAGCTGGAGCTCTAGGTGTGAATTTGAGTCCAGTACTTGCTGGCTTCGTCGTCAAAAACATTGGTGAGCAACCTCTGGACAATCGCAGATACAATCCTTCCTTTACTTGTTTTGGTGCACCCACGCAATTCTTTTTCCAACCCGAATCTTGCACGCCCATGTTGCGATTTTATGGGCCGCCCGGCCGCCCAGCCGTTTGTGGCCGCCAGGCTTTCATTTCAGTCCGGACCCCTTCTTGCAACTTCTGATGTATAGAGATTATATCTAGATCATGATTGATCGAGCAAGTGCAATTAGCGCACTATTATACCTAGTAACTTAACTTTCCTGAGAGCACGTTGCTTGTACATGCATTCACTTCGTGACTCAGACTGTCTTCGATGGCTCTGGATCTGATCGTAAAGGAGCATGGCATTCGTGTACGTGAAGCCTGCTCCCTGGCAGCTCCCGTCACGTCCGCGTCGCGTCCGATCCTGTCCGCTACTACTGATCCCGCGCAGCCCTATCTGTTTTTTGGCATGCAGCGGCCGCTCAAGTCCAACAGGTATCTTTTCTGTCGCGCATTCAATCAACTCGGAAGTTCCTTTGCGGCTGATCGAGCAACCAGCGCCCGTGCAGCGTTTTAGTTGCCCCAGATAACCATGTGGCACTGACCGGCGCACCCTTCCCCAGGACGCCATGCCGCGCGCTGTACGTTAATGGCTTTGTCGGCCCGCCACTCGCTTAGTACATGGGGACGTGATAAGCTTATTTAACTCAATTGGTCTTCAAACAAGAGACTTTCGGTTTGGACGGTGTCTGGATCCACTGCAATTGATCAGGACGTACGTCTTGACGTACGTTGATCGGATCTTCGCGGCCGCCAACCATATAACGGGGTCCAACGGCTCGCATTCTTGATTCTAGCTAAGTTGCTCAAGTGAACGCTGGCCGGTGTGCACCACAAACGCACCTTCGTGATTGAAAAACGTCAAGGACGTCCTGGTACGGCGCCCAAGCTAGTGAAATCAGGCCCCCGGCCCGCGTGGTGCGACCGCGAAGCCCAACAGGAAAGTCCAGGGTTTAGACGTCGTAGATCCGCGCGCGACCGCGCGCGACGCGCGATTCCACCGTCCAAGCCTGGTGACATCATCTTGACGCCCTGTGCATGCACACCGCTGCTGTGTTCGCTCTCGTAAGATCGTCAGGTGCGAAATCGGAAGTCGGATCCATTCAACAGTAAATTCGCTTGCATGGGGAGAGCATCATTGCCTTGAGGTCAGTTGCTTCTTGAAGCGACGAGTCTACCCGCTTCCGGCGTCGAAGAAGTTGTTTTGAGCGTTCGAAGATCCACGAGTTGGCAAGGACATTTGCAAGCAAGCCGCGACCAAACTCTCATGCTATCCCCTGCTTAAGTTCTAATCATATCAAGAGAGTTCGGATTTTGAATTTTAGCCTCCTTCCTTGACAGGCTGAGCTGATTGGCTGCGCACGAATGTTGTTGCAGATATCGATGCTCTTTTCCTAGTGGTGAAAAAGTGCGGGAGCTATTCTGTTCCCTGCAAAAGGCAGAGAAACGGAACAAGCTTCTCCTCAAACAGTGCACCGGTTTTGCAGCGGAGGCTCGGGATAAGGAATCTCGGAGACGGCCGCAACGGCCTTTGTGAATCAGGGACTTGGACTCGCTTAGCGGCGCGGATTTTGATCATGGGGATTACTAGTTTTCCGGCGCATGCAATCACGGCGGTAAGCCCCCACCTCTTTTGAACCGATTGCATTGCCTCAATGCATGATTCTGGGCAGGTCAAAAGGAGCCCGCATCTCAATTAAGTTGAGCGCCAGACTGAGAACAAGGTCCGATGCTTATGAAGGAAAAAGTGAGATCCTTGGGGTGACATCTTCAAAGGCCCCGTTCATCGTGTCTGACACAAGTGCCCTTGACTGCCGAGCTTTCCGGGCGAGCTATTTTTTCCTGAGTGAGACTTCTATAATCCGCCCCTTCGTGTTGAGAGCTGATGGTCGTAGACTGCCATGCACGCTGTCTTTGAACCTGACGTGTATGTGTCATGAAGGAATGCCGTCAGGAGACCATGGACTATCTTTGGAGCCTGTTCAAACGGTTGCAGGAATCCATAATCTGAAAACAGGGTTGAGATTGAATTGGTTGCTTTGAGGAGTCCGTTTCCTATCAATTTACTGGAATGCTCTGACTTTTAAGGCATGTGTACGTGTGATGCTGTCCCTTCACTTTTACCTGATTAAAGGTTTCGGATGAAGAACTTGATCTGTGTGCATATCAACCTCATAGAACCTCTTGTTCAGATTATTGATCAAGCGCAGAAATGGGTCAGTTGGATTGGCGCAAGATGCCTCACTCTCTTTGTCGCTCTAAGCACGACCTGTCATATTCTTATCTTACAATCCAAAGTTGTCCAGCTCTTACAATTGCGGCACTGAAGGTCGTGGCCTCGAACCGTGCAGGTCGTTGTGGTGATCAAGTGATCAACGCAAACTCCTTCGGTCAGCCCAATCGTGTTAGAAAACTCCCTACTCGAAATTGATATACGCATTCGATCAGAACGGTCGACCTCTTCTATATTCAGGCGCCACAGTCCTGGCCATCACGAACGACCATGCTGACCGCGCGCGCAAGGCGCGTCTCAAACGGACGCAAATTGCACGCATTAAGAAGCATACTCTACCTGAGAAAGACGTATAAATTCTGATTTTGAGACTCCCATCTCGTATGGATGCATGCGCTGCAAATCAAGGCCAAGTTGGCGACCGGCCAGTTCGCGGGCGCGCAGCTTGCCACGAGCGCAACGTCCAAGCGGCGAAGGAAAGACGCACTTTCTACGTGTGGCGATGATAAGCGCTCGCAACACTTCATCCCTTATGGGTGCAGGTAGTGCAGATGGTCGCCCATCCTGGCGAGCGGGCTGTTCGCGGGCGCGGCGCACTTTACATACCTTAAAAACCTTCGTTTTAACACCCCGGAGAGAGTTTTGAGCACTGACAGCATCCATAGCTTATGGTGGCAGGCGCTGCCTTCGTCGCTTCCTGGAGACCGGATCTTCGCAGGCGCGGCACTTCTTCGTGTTTTGTGCAGAGAATTATAAGAATTGCAGCGAAATGTCACTTGTCTGCACACGTGAGGTCTGCTCATATCTCAGGCTTCTAACCGCTCGAGTCTCCCATCTCGTATGGCTGCAGGCGCTGCAGATCGTGGCCGTTTTGGAGACACGGGCTGTTCGCGGGCGCGGCTCTGTTCGTGAGCTTGCTGCAAAAGGCCTATCAGATGTTCAAAGACAAGTCAAGTGTCTGCGAATCTTATAAGCGCTCATTATAAGCGCTCAATTCCCAAAACTTTTGACCGCAGGCCCTCTGAGATTGTGGCCATTTGGCGACGGGGCTGTTCGCGGGCGCGGCGCTGTTCCTGAATGTTGCGTAACACTTTTTGAACGCTACTTTTACGAAATATGAGCTGTCTGCAGTCCCCACACGCGCTCATTATTTTCCCGTCTCGTATGTTACAGGCGCTGCAGATCGTGGCCATTTTGGCGGCCGGGCTGTTCGCGGGCGCGGCGCTGTTCGTGAGCGTGGTGCAGCGGCCGGTGATGGAGCGGCTGCCGACCAACCAGGCGCTCAGCTACTGGCGGACCAACTTCGACGCCGCCAGGCTCATGCAGGTTGGAGCCGATATCGGACTATGTTGCTCTTTTGTGGGAGTTGAGAAAGTTTGGTTTTGAGAACTTTGGGGCTTATGCGAGTGCTCTGCGTCCGGATGAGTCGTGCGCGTTGGCCACGTCGAGCCAAGCACCAGAGTGTGTACTCTTCATTCTATCTGGGGATTTAGAGTAACGTTATACAGTTTTGTACTGTTTCTTCACCTGTTTCATGCAGGTGGGCAACGCCGAGCCGCTTATCAGAGTACGTGCCTATCATCGTGTGGAAATTCACACTCAGAAAAAGTTAGTAATCAAAACTGGGGTCTCTTTCAAAATTTCTTCGCCAGAGTGTGCTGGCTGGCCACGCGGACCGGCCGCGCCTCCGTCGAAGCGTTCCCAACTTCATATTGGGAACTCCCTTGTCTCGTTAGGGGCTTGTCTCTTAAGATGCAGAAGCCCCGGGCACCACAAATAAAAAACCTAACCCAAAAGCTTACGCGCTCCGCACCCCTACCCACCAAACTAACCCTACCCGTCCCCCGGCCAATGAACTTTCGGAGACAAGCCCCTAACGAGACAAGGGAGTTGCCACAATCCCAACTTCTGGTTGAAGCGTTTTGATGTCTCAATCATTGGCCTGCTTGTGATTGGCCTGTCTCAGGCTGCTTGTGACCATGTTCACCGTTCTGACTACGGCTTAAAACTGCTCATAGAGGTACGTCTTGCTTCTTTCATATTCAACACCATCTTCATGTCCAATAATCGTCTTGCCAAGATGCGTCGAGGCGGGCGAAGGAGTCTGAATCTCTGTAAGTTCTTGTAGCTAACCATTTCAGACAGCGTCTTAGATCCACCTTCTTCTAGATCTACAGCGCACAGCGTCCCATCCCTTCTTCTGAGCTTTTTATCGGGTCCGGCGTTTTGCGGGAGCGCGTTGTCCCAGGATCTTGGATTGTCCGGTGGTAGAAGTGGCGTGCTCTCACATCTCTCAATGAATGTCTTCAAAGCTATAATCGTGGCACGTAACATGTCATCACCTTGTCCATTCTATCTCCACTTCTGGCTGGCTCAAACGGGAACGTCCAAAAACTGTGTTCTGGACCTGTATCGGACTTGGTTTTCACCTGCTGTCTTTCAGACCTCAGTAATCGCCTAACCTGCGGATCACCTTTCCAGAGACTGCCGAGCATCCTCACAATCTATCTTCCCTCACCACCAGATCGCCCTCGCGCTGATCGGCTCCGCGGCCGCGGCCCTCGCGGCGGCCGCGGGCGGCGGCCGCGTCTGGTGGTTCGCGGGCGGCCTCCTGGCGACCGTCATTCCGTACACGGCTGTCGTCATCTTCCCCACCATCCGGCGACTGAATGACGACAAACTGGACCCCACGTCAAAGGAGGCGAAAGCGCTCCTGCGGCGCTGGTACGAGCTGCACGCGTTCCGGACCGTGGTGTCAGTCTCGGCGTTCGGAGTGATGGTAGCGGCGAGATGAATGTTAGAATTAGAACGGGGAGAAAATTGGAACGGCTAAAAGTAAGGTCCAGGGGAGTCAGTACGTTTCGGCGTTCGGAGTGATGGTAGCAGCGGGATGGGCGTTAATAACTAGGGTGGGGGAAAACGTGGTAAAAGTCAAAGTGAGCGCTACGAGCTGCATGCGTTGAGGGCTCTAGTGTCGGTCGCGGCGTTCGGGGTGATGGTAGCAGCAGATTGAGCGTTAGGAACTAGAGTGGGGGGAGACTTGGAACGGGTGAAAGCTTAAGGGAATTGACACAAGTGCATGCGTTCAGGACTATGGTGTCGGTCTCGCCGTTCGGAGTAAATATGGTAGCAGCGGAATCATTGAACATGAGCGGTAGGAAAGAGAATGGGAAGAAAGTTGGAACGGGTGAAAGTGTGAGAAAGTGAACGGCGAGGTGCATTCGTGCAGGATTTTGGCCCCCGAAGATATTTGGCAGGCTGTAGTCCAATGAGATTGCATAGAAAGAGGAAGAAAGTCGTGCTCACCGCGGCTTTGATCAGCATACAAATTGGTAGTTGGATGAGAGGTAAAAGGCTTGGGGGGGCCGTTTAAGCCTGATTTATAAATGAAGGCTGGCTTTTGTTCGAGGAACAGGCTGCACATACATATTTGTACAGGAAGATATAACAATCTTGATGATCCAAATTGGAGCCTTGAAAGGGCCACCAAGCCCTTGACGTCTTCGGACTAGCCAGAAACTGTGGCTACACATCACCGCACATTATAATATTTCTGTAACACACATGCATGCAACGGAATAGATGGACCTTTGTCAAGTCTGCTTGATAAAACGCATGGATTGGTATATCTTCTCGAATCTCGTCAGTGATATTTCGAGTGTCCATCGACAGGTTATATATTGGCCGCCTTCATCTGGATGTTTGAGCATCTCTTCGACGTCCGGCTTCCGAATCCCAAGTGAATGCCTTGATTTAATTGATGAATTCATGATAGTCGCCAACCGCGCCTGACGTGCGCGCTTCCATCTGCATCATGTTGCGCATGTCTGCTCTTATTGTACGGCGCATGAGGTTTAGTCACACTGTTGATGCCTTGATTGGAGCATAACCAGGAGCACTTGCCATTGTTAATGAGCAATTGCTATTATCACAATATGTGCGTACCCTTTGCAGAGAGATATTTCGGGTTGTCGAGATCTCGAGGCCCTCCTTGCAGAATAAGATTCTAGATTCCCGTGCTCAACGTGGCTACGAAAGTGCCCTTCTACTGTCAAAGTGTTGCCGTAAGAACAAGATCAGGTTCTCTCCGATGCATACGTGCTTGAGATGGATGGAAAGGACAACGTCCCAGGAAAGCTGTTATGTAAAACAGACCTCGAGAAATGGTCCTCACGTCAATCTGAAAACTCATATACCACCTCGTGCCTTTGAGCCTGCACGCGAGGGGCACTGCAAGCCGCGATGCCACAACGATTCAAAGAGAAGTCGCACCTCACGCTTAGAAAACCTGAAACCACGTGCGCTGTGTCCAGTGTGCAAATCGAGCGCACTTCGACCGGCCGCGACTTCGCCAATCTAAACCCCCAAACCCTGCCTGGAGGTTTGACAGCGGCGCGGCTGCCGGGACCGTCTGGCGCGCGCCCCGGATGCGCGCCGCGGGCAGTCTGCGTGCAGTCACGAGGTTTGACACACCTGGGAGGCCGCTCTTTGGGAGGTGACATCACCCCATCTCAGAAGCAATCTCTGCAGTCGAGCATAGGGGTACGTCTTTTGCGCACAAGAATCTTTGAAAAGGGAGCCTTCTATAAGCCATCGTTTTGCTCTTCGGCGCTCATAAAAAGAAGCACTTTTGACGTGGCACCCTCCCGGCCTTGCTTATATCATTAGGCACGTTGAACAACCAAGGAAAGCAAGAAATGGAGCAACAAACGAGCAGCACGCAAGTCTTAGCGCCTCACATCACAGCCAGAACTCTCAGAGTCTCCAAGCAGCGCAAGCGCCACCATTCAGCTTCAAAGGATGAGGAGCCGGGATTTTTTTGTTCACAGCTTGCGCGAGCACATGACTACAGGGGCAAGCTCAAAGAAGCGGTATGCAGAAAAGGAAGTTTTCGACTGCTCTGAGGGGATGGTTCTTCCGACTGGGAGCGGCAAGTTTGAGAGTGGCCTTTTGGGAGCTATTACGGCTGCATATGCTGGACGCTACTGTTTGCATCTGCGTCCGGATGACATCTGGCTGGCCGTATCTCAGGGAGTCAGTGCGCATCTACAGGCTGACAAGAACGCAGAGAAGTACAGGAAGACCTTTGTGGACCATGAAGGGAAGAAGGACATTCTGGTCGACGTGACTGATTTCCTGACAGGTGAATATAATCCCTGGATTTCCAAGGATAAATTTTGTTTCCGGATTCTCGGGAGAACGAGATAGATACAGCAACCCTATGAGCTGGTCAGCAAGTAGCTCACAAATACCTCCAACAGCATCAAGTTGATGAGTTGTTGGATGCAAGGTCTCGATCAAAAAGAGCCCTTGGCTGAGGAGGTTATCTGAGGAGGTCATCTGAAGGAAATTACAACACATGACCCGAGTCGTTAGGATGCTAACCTATGAAAAGCAGGGTAACGTTTTCCGTTTCTACTTTGCTCCAGCATGTTGGTATGTTGTTCACGTGTTTTATGGCCCAAGAAGACTGCATCTTGGATATCAAGGGAGAGGCGCTGTTGACCAATTCGTCTCACCAAGGACGAACAACTTCGCACTGGACAGGACTTTTGAGTAATGAGGATCATCCCATTTTTTGCGAAGTCGTAACAACACAGCTTAGGATATCTGATTTGTCTTGATCTGAACTTGTTCGGCAGCTTCAAACGACGTTGGTGTTCAGGACCCGTTTGGACTTTGTACAGCAGCCATCATGTAGCTGCATATCTCTTGCTTGTGCAGACAATCTCAGCTCTCAGTCGTTTCTCCTCATTTCCTCCAACATCTGCACTGAAGGCGTCAACCATTTCATGCTTGAGTCCTTTTAGCCATGGCTGACTGTGACGCTCTCAAACAAAGTGAAAGCTTTGTTTTGCTACAGGGAAGAAGACGCTCTTGGAGTGGCCCAAGTGCGTCCAGCTCATCGTCGACGAGCTGGACGACCTCGTGAAGGGAGAAACCACCAAAGTTAGCGTCAACGACTTCTCCACGACGGACTTCGTCGCCAAAACCTCCAGCCAGATTGTTCTCATGGATTCCATGAAGCACTACTTCGTCTACAAGATGGGAATAGCAGGTTGCGCCAGGCGGAAGTCCGTTCCAGAGTGCGGAATTCCGTCCGTGACACTGCACGGAATGCTCGCGGATTGGGAGGCCCTGACGGAGAAGACGCGCGCGCTGCGCGCGCTGAACATCGGCCTGGACTGGTGGCTGGACACACTAGAGACGGTCTTAGAGCGCCTGGTGGGTACGTACCGGGGCAACGTGGACCAGGACTGGTGGAGCCGGGTGCTAAGCGCAGAGTCGGGCCATCAGTCGGGGCCTTCCCCCCAGCATATCTCGGGCTGGCTCTGCGCTTTCTTTCCTTATGAAGAAGTTAAAGGGGTGATGCGCCGCCGCAAAGCGATTGACCGGGAGAATCCCCCGAGCGGGCTCGTGGAGTGCCCGTTCATCCTGGTTGATGCGCGGGTGAAACCCGGGGTCCAAACCGACAACCTGCTTGTGGCCGGGAGCTGCGGGGTGTCGGTGACCGAGGACGGAAAAGGGGTTATGCCGTGCACCGGGTGGCTCGTGAAGACGGACCCGAGCAATGGGAACAAGTTCGAAGCGGCGAAGATCGTGGCCGGAGACTACGCAGCAGATCAAGCCGAGAGAGAGTCTCCCAAGAGACAGGCTTTTGAATCCGGTTCCGAAACTGATTCTTCTGAATAAGGGGTTTGAAGATAAGATGGCCTTGTCCCTGGTGTTAATTGTTTTGCTGGTTGTTGGTTCCATCATCTGCAGTTGGAAGCTGGTCGGAGTAGGTTAACTCCTTTAGGTACGTGCACTTGAAGAGTCAATACTGATCGCTATGCGGCTAGAAGTCCCTGTCGCACTAAGACACTAATGTTGGCTGCCATTGAAGCTGCAGGCTTGAACCTGATGCGAATAATTGTACGATTCGTGGAAACACTGGTCATGATATCTGCAAATGAGTATGCGAATATTCGTAGTTAGTCGATGATCACGTGTGAATGCCTTGTGAATGTTTACGATGAAAATATCTGAGTCGATAAACGGGCACGCCGCGGCGCGAAGCTGCTCATGTTGCATTTGATTCATGCATTAAGTAGTTAGTGGACGTGAAGTGGTTGGAGGACGTTGTGCAGTGTATGCATGTTGGGCTGGGAATGCGTCTTTTCATTGGGCATGTTGTACTTGATATTCGAACGGAAGTTTCCGTTAACTTAACGGTTCTGAGTCGTTAAAGATCGAATGATGGAAGTCTCGTTCGATTGATAGGCGTTTGTATCGTACTTTGGAAACGGAAAGAGTTGTCGTGGTCAAAGCTTCTCTTTCGCGGCTGTTGTGATATAGGCATTCTCAGTTTTCGAAATATGCCATAAAACTCTTACTAGATTCTCCTTAGGAATTGTGCACGAGCCTACAAAAAAGCAGTGTTCATTTACGTCTTTCTAAGTCATTGTGTAGGGCGCTGAATAGCTTGGACAGCCTCAGGTTTGTTTGGGTTCGTATAGGTCTATCAAATTCACGTCTATCGTCGTCAAGCGCGACGGCATCCTAAACGACGTAAATGCCGTTATCCTGATCAAACCTCCGACTCCTCAGACGTACGACGTGACCGAACCAAACGGCTCGAACACGGAGATGCAAACTGTACAATGGTAACGGGTCGATAGCAGCTTCACGCTCCGGTAAGTAGGAGCGCACTCCCTCACTACCCCTACTTTCCCACCGCTGATCAGCAACGGTTTACGGGGGGTTGCCCCGGGCCACACTTGGGAACGCAGCGGCCCGGCAAAGGTCCCAAAAGCGAGGACCAACGCCGGAGGCGCCATCCCCGCGCAGCTAGTTGCGCAGACATTGTTGAACGGGCAGTCCGAATCCATGTTACAACCCCTGGTACAGAGGGCGCACGCGACGTTGGCCTGACACACGTTTTCGACGGGGAACGTCGTATTGGCGCAGACGCAGTTTCCAATCGTCCCGTTTCCCCTTGCGGTACTGATGACGATCCTCGGGCATTCGCGGCTGAAGCCGCCGCCCGTGTTGGTGCAGGTGACCTTTGGGGAATCTGGCGGAACGGAACGAACGGAACGAATGGTTTCAGTCTGAAGTCCTTTCTATCAACTAGCTAGGTCTGGTCAAACGTGACGGCGATGCTCCGGGGACGGAGCGGAACAAACGGAGTGGAACATAATAGCAATGCTTTCCTCGCCGCAGCCCGTGTTGAGCCGCTCGAGCGGAACCAGATCAGCGGATAGCAATGATTGAAGGCGAATTAATCCGCCTTCGCCTTTAGAATACACTAGAACCGTAAGTGTGCCATATATGGCGCACTTTCCTTTTCAAAGGTTTGCAAATTTGCCACGGCCTCGTTTTGAACATTTTTCCGATTCCGACGTCGTTACCCTGTCTTAGTACCCCCCTAGCACTCGATTTCGACCCGAAAAAATTTTCAGCCGATATTTCAACTAGGTAACACGCGTCATTCAAAGGCTGGTCGCGCGGAATGCAGTATTATGTATATATTTTGAAATTTGTTGACATGCTCGGATAGTCTACCGGGTTAGTACACAGTGGTCTGGACCTAAGGTACCGAGGTTCGAGTCCCGCAAGGCTGAAACTGCGAAAATGCTAATGTTTTTGCCTATTTTGGACAATTATTTGCCCTAACAAATGGTCAAAAATGCAGAAAAATGCCTAGAATTGCCCACGCCGAGCCTCCAAAAATTTGAGGAATGTCATTTTAAAAGCCCGGTTATTTCCACAATAGGTTGGCAACAACTCACCAAAGGATATCCATATCAAAAAGCACCGATACGTTCGAACCGAACACCAAATAAGCTTATCGGGCTCTCACGGCGCAGTTTTCGACGTAACCAATGCTAGGTTTGTGCATCACGTTTTTGAGCTTTCAAACATGTAAGAGTGTGTACGAGATCCTTTGATCACCCCAAAGGTAGCCATGAACGGAGTTTGCGAAAAAAATGCTTGTAGACCCTTGAAATAAACCGCCAAAATTTAAGTGCGCCATATATGGAGCACTTATTCCTGGGGCAAAACGGGAGCCTGCTGATTCCGGCTTGCATTTGTTTCCAAGCTTGCTGTGGGTGGAACTTTTAACTTTTCAACAAGTTAGGATGTTACATATGTTGAAAAGGGTCAATAGTAACCTACCATAATTTTAAAATATTTGTTTTTAGTCATTTTCCACTTTTTGCACATTTATTTTGAACGAGGCAAGCTGCGCCATATATGGCGCACTTATATACGGTTCTAGTGGTTCTAATTAAGCTGTATTTATGTGGAGTAACGTCCCCTCTCGTTCCTCACGAGTACGAGACTACGAGTTCGCCAAGATTGTTGAGCAGTTGTGACTTGGATCGGGGACAGGCGGTAGCTGAAGCTAAGTGGAAATAATGGAACCAATCACTTAACCCAGCCAAACCCACGATGGAAAATACTAGGCTTCTTTTACAGGAACTAGTACTAACAGAAAAAAAGGCAGCGTAAATTCATTGCGGTTGCACACGACTCCAGACCCATTGAATGCCACGAAAAACCTCCCAGGTTATTTCGAGCAAGGCCAGCGTTTGAGGCAAAACGTAGCCAGATTCGTGGGGGCTTGGCAAGCATTCCAGCCTATCTCGTATGATGGAGGGAAGAAGTTACAATTGACAAGAAGCTGGATCCTTTTGTTTGTTTGTTGTCTGACCCTTGTCATTCCGGAATTCTCCGTTTTGTATCCAAGGACAACAGCAAAGGAGCAATAGCACACCAAAAAGGCAAGCTCCCTATCTTAGATGCACCAAACTTTGGCATGGGGCAAGGCAAGAGGTTGGTTACATGGACGTCCAAAGAGGGTTGCCGGGGTGACTGTAGGGACCGCCGGTGCTGTCGTAATCGGTACCGGTAGTCCTGGTATGACGGTACCTGCATCGGCTGCGTAGCGCAGTCCATGTCATGACGTACAGTCTCGGCGCTGTGGCATGTCGATTCCGAGCTCGTGCAATGGATCGAGGCGATATGTAGACACGACTGCCACGTGTAGCGGTTGTGACGACAACTAGGGGCGACACATTCCGACTACAACTACAACTGCGGCCTACATTACCCTTAACATTCATTAGCATATTTAGGGCTGTATATTTGGGACAACAACCTACTTTTTAGCCTTAATTCGGGATCATCGGACGGTGGCCCGATTGTGGCCCTATTTCCGGCCGTCGATTTAGCTTTCAAGTCGGAATCACCTAAATCCGGGATTCACGAAATAGGTAATTCGTAGTAAACCGACTCGAGTTCGATACTCGGTGTTAATCATATAAAACGGTACTTTAGTGGTTAATACAATGCTTGCCCGTGGCTAGACTATTTAGTACGGGTTGGTACTCGGTTAACAGTATAAACAGTGACACACTTGCTCCGAGTTGTCTTTGTGTAACCGGTTGGATAATGACTACCCAAGTAGCATGCCTAGCTATAAGGAAGCTCCCAACCAACTCTTAGACATCTACTTGCAAGTGACCTTGAAGGAGAGAAGGAGAGGAAGGAGCCGCTTCTTACAGAAGGGCTGCCCATTGAAGTGAAGGTATTATCTTCGGTGCTTCTCATGTGTTCTCATTGATACATGTGATTTCTTAGCATGAATGATCATTCTCCGGTGACCTTGTCTTAAACCATTGCGTCCGTGCAAATGCATGTCTTGAGAGACCGCCCCGGTAGCCACGACTCCGGGAGGCCTTCTCCTACGACTTGCAAGTAGATCATGCTTTGGTTTGAGCTTGGCTGCATTGCGGAGCTAGTCGGGTTGAAGTGGCATGGATTTTAGACGTTCCGGCACTTTGACTTTTACGTAGGGTTTCCTTTGTGAAAGGAGGCTAAAGGCTGATTTTGGCTACAGCGGCACATTTGACACCTTACGGACCAGCAAGGGCACCTCAGGGGGTTGCATCTTGTGCGGTGACAGGGCATTGGCCGCGTTGCATGATTTCAGATCTTTGACGTCGGGAGCAGGAAAATTCTGATTTTGGAGCTCCGTCACTTTAGGAAGGTGCTGTAGGACAGCCAAGAATTTGCTTGGTGTTTTGCCGCATTTTACCACTTGGATCGGGGCGTTACGGGCTGATTTGCCGCTGTTGCATTTTGCTAAGGGCAGATTTTCAGATCCACGTCGCTGTTCTTGCGCTTCTGTTTGAGCAGCACTTTGACAGCCTTCTGAAGGTGCATGCTTTTGAAGGACAGACGCACACCTGCTGAGCGCAATGGCGCCTGACTGAGGATGCATAAGTGAGCACAGGTCTGAACCCTAGCGCGCAGCGCGCTGTAGCTGACCGTGCGCCATTATGGCAGTCCTTAGCAATGCAGGATGGTGGAGCCGCAGAATGGCCCCATGGGTACAACGAGAAGAACGAGCGTAACGCTGAGCCCACCAAGGAGGTGTTTGACATTGAGCTTGGGCTCCGCTTCCTCGGCACTCAAGACGAGCTTGAAGGTTTCCGCGAGCGCCAGCGCATCGTCAACAGGTCCAAGTCTGACGGCACCTACGTGGCGCCGCCGGAACGGGAACGCGGGATTGAGGATCCCATGCTTGTGGACTCGCGCGCGAGTGCTGCTTCCGGACTTGCCGGTGGTCTTGAGGGAGGAGGGAGTGGTTTGCATCGTGACTTGCTCGGTGTGCCTGCGCCAGGGACAGAGCTGGTACTCCCACCTGAACCCACTTACAAGTCTGCTGCTGCCCAGCAGGCTAAGAAGGACAAGAAGAAGCGGGCCAAGCAGAACCAGGGAGCTGCAGCACCAAACGCTGAGGCCCACCTGTCTGCACGTCGCCGCGCTGCACCCGATCTGCGCCTCTCCCGCGAGGAGCGCGCACGCATCGCCGCGGCCGGGCCCGGACCAGTACCAGGCACTGCCCAAGGCAGGCCTGCAGCAGCGCGCGCACCTGCATCCATTGCCAACGGTGGTCGTGGGGGGCGTGGTGGCCGCGCCAACAACAACGCGCGCGACAGGGGACGTGACTGGGGCCCTGCACCAGTTCAGCGCCAGCGTTCTCGCTCCCCGCCGCGTCGTTTCCACGACAACTCGAGGTCGCCGCCCAAGCCACGTGATCGGACGCCGCCACGTCGCTCACCTGCCAGGGACAGCGACGCTGCCGTCATCGAGTTTGGCAACGGCATCCGCATCACCATTCCCCAGTCCCGTCGCTAGGGGTGAGGAAAGACATTGTGGTTGCTTTCTTGGGTCGTGTGACCGTCCCGTTGTTTCTGCTTGAGCGTGTCACTTTTACGCCTACTTGCAGTTACACCGCGGGACTCACCTGACTACCGAAACCTGTGTTCTCAAAGCAAAACGCTGCGAGACCAGGGGGTGATATCCCGTGGAAGGGATTGTGGAGGCAAGTGGACCAGTGCCACTTGCCGGCCGGGCGCTTTCTGCCTGGTTTGTCGAACAGCAAACTTCGGTTTGCTCTGGTGAACAGCTTGCTTTGGCTTGCTCTGACGGACAGCTTGCTTCGGCTTGCTAGGGCGGACAGTGAACTTTGGTTCATTTGACGGACAGCTTGCTTCGGCTTGCTAGGCACTGGCACTTGGAGTTGACTCGGAACTGTCGACCTGACCACGTTGTGGCAGCTTCTCAGCTGTGCACTAGGCCCGAAGTTTATCAGCACATGAACGTTGTTTGGTGGTGGAAACTGGCCTCGTTTAGTGGTAGACGATCTTGGTGTCAATCTCATGAGTGGTCCTCAGTCTTGGGGGTACAATCTGCGTTCCAGGCGCATTCCGCCTAGGCAAGAGGAAGTCAGTCTTCTAGACGAATCGGGTAGTGAGGGTCGAATCGAAGTCGATCAAAGCAGCCACGGTTCTAGAGAAGAGTCGCTCGGTCCGTTCCAAAGTCTGTTCTTTGAAGGACTTGACGACATGGACAGTACTTTCCGTCCCGGGGGGGTGGTCTTTACTGGTGACCCTGCAGGTCCGAGTTTGCAAAGTCTCCGCCAGGCCTGGACAGGCCAAGGAGGTAGAATTGAAACTCAAGCCACAGTCAGAAGAGCTGTTGGATGACAATGACCGGTTCCACCTTGCAGTTGGACTGCTGGGAGGAGGGGCACGAGAACGGGCGTTCCACTTGGAGAGTACAATGGAGGTGGAGCTGTTGGCTGCAAATGCGCCAGCGCGGGCCCAATTTACGACGCGTACCAGGGCCTGGCAACTTGAATATGAGTTGTGGGATGGTAAATCTGAGACTGAGCGTGGTGACACAGTGCGGCCTGTACGGCCAGTGGCACCTGCTTTTGAGAAGCTGTACTTTCAGCCGATGGAAAGGTTCCGGGCGATGCTTGAGGAGTTGTATCCTGAACGTTCGAGCGCCAAGATAAGCGAGTACAACCTGTTCACGCAGAACAAGGGGGAGTCGCTGGCGAACATGTTTCAGAGAATGAAGTTCCTCATGGTCATTCTCAACCAACCCGAGCAGAAAAGCGTATTCAAGTTGCTAGACTGTCTCAAGGCCAAGCACATGGCCAGCGAAGTCGAGAGTCACTTGAATCACCTACATTTGGATCCGAACCTGTGGACGGTTGACCAAGTGTCCAACATAGCGCTCCAGATTGAACGCGGTCGCAGTGAAAAGGAACTCTGGACAGGCAAATCCAGTCACTCTGACACAGCAACAAATCTGGCAACAGTGCTTCTGGTGGTGGGTCCGCTAAGACTGGCAAAGCGTGTGATAACTGCGGCGACCCTAACCACTTGCAGAACGCTTGTCCCCATCCGCCGCGGGGAAAGCCCAAGCCCGCCAAGCCAGGACTTCACCTCTGTTGCACGTTTTGCCAATCCGACGGCTAACAACAAGCCTGACGCGGATAAGACGTGTTACACATGTGGCGAGACAGGCCACATTTCAAGGGACTGCACGAAGCGGCAATCTGGCGGCGAGATGTCAAAGAGGGAGAAGGGGAAGCCGTGGTGCTCGCACCACAACCTTAACACCCACTCGAACGAGCAATGCTGGGCACTGCATCCAGAACTGGCGCCAAACTTTGCTAAGGAGAAGCCGCAGGTCAAGCATGCGCGGTCAGCAAAGAAAGCTACGGAGGCTAACTTTGCGAGCATGTCCGCAGCAGACAAGCAGGCAGCCTATGAGGATTGGCAGGCAAAACAGTCTGGGTGGGACGGTCCTACTGACGCCTACACGGGTGTGGTCGTTGAGCTAAACGAACCCCTTGTTCCTGCTCTTGCTGCAGGTACGGAGAAGAAACGGCGGTCGTCTGAGACGCAGCAGCTGAAGGGCGTCCAAGGCAACATGCCGCTGAGCTTCCTGCCCTATGACGCCACTTCCACTGAGCGTCTCAGAGGGGGGAAGGACCTGGAGTACGATCCGTTTCCGGTTTTGGCTGATCAAGGTGAGAGCGAGACCGCAGGGCTGCCAAAGGCGCTTGAAAAGGCGCCTGGCGCAGGTGGAGACAGCGAGTTGCCTCAGTCGTTTGAGGAGCTTGCCGAAACGGATCCCAGGTACCAGGGAAAAGCTGATTATGAGCTGCCGACGTCGCAAGTGGTGCAGAGTCCGGTTTCTGAGGATGAGATTCCGGGTGAAAACTTTGTGACCGACCTGTTTGGTGTTCAAAAACCCTTGTACGGGTACCGAAATGCTGCCAGCAGGGACGGTTTGACCAGCGACAGGTCGGACAGTGAGGCCCAATTAGGGTCAGACACCCTTGGTAAAGTGCCTGACACGTCACTAACCGGTCCTTCTGCTCATGCAGAGTTGGAGGGAGGCGTGGCGGCGGACATGGAACTGGGGGGACGTCAAGGCCGGCCTGGAACGGTGGATCCGTTTGCAGAGCCGCCGATCATTATTGAGGGAGGTGAGTTGTCGGTGGAATACAGGGATATTGCCCCTGAGGCTTGGCCACCAGCAGTACGTGCCAGCTACCACACGGTTGAGGTGCAGGCGCTGCTAGGAGGCCCAGTAACTGATGATGTCCGAGATGCTGTGCGAGCGCTTGGGGATAATTCAGAACAGGGTTTTCTGCCTGGGGTTGTCCGGGGAATGTTCTCCGGGGGCCCAAGACCAGGTATGGACGGTGTGGCTTTCAGAACTAGGCGGCTCCTAGGCCGTGAGAGTTACCCCACTTGGGGAGAGCTGGAATCGAGTTGCACTGACAGTGCCCAGGACAAACAGGCGCGCGCAGTCCGCAGCGCACTGCTTGATCCCAGCATTGAGACAGGGAGTCTGCTTTTGCGAACGGGTGACCTGCTGACGCCTGGCCAGTACAAAGCGCTGGGGTTACGTCTGCTGTTCCTGTTAAAAGAGCTCAGTGAATTGTCTCTCTTGCCCCTGAACCTAGCGCCAGCTGAGGTTGTTGGAACTGCTGAGCACACAGCACTTGAGATTGAGCACGGGTTGGCTTTGATGCAGTACGTGTTGGAGCTTGCCCACGGCCTGATTGACGGGACAAAGACACTAAGCGGCCCAACCAGTACGGCGTGCATGCTGCTTGCTGAGTTCTGGTGGTGGTTGCAGTGGCGGTCTGAGTACCTTGTTAGGGGGAATGTAAACGGAATTGGCACTGAGTTGCGTTACTTGGGTCACGGATTGGTCAATCTCCAGGTGATTTTGGACCAGGCGGACCGGTGGTCACAATCTTGGTTGTGGAAACACTTGGCCTGGGCCCTGCGCAACTGTAAGATGGCCGGATTCCTGACCATGCGCGACATCTTTGTGCCTCCTGCAGATTTTGCACTGGCCAGCGCGCGGCGCTTGGTGGCAGAACGCGAGAAGAGAGCAGTCGAACCAGCGCGGGGCCGAGACGACTTGGCGAGGTCAACCTTGACCAACCTGGCGCAAGTGTTCAAGCAGGGACGAGTCTTCATTCGAGCAGGCGGACTGCTTGCAGCCGCCATTCCAAGGGCCGTCGCAGCGCCCCAGCCACCACGCGTGCCTGGGCCAGCAGCAGCGACAGTACCGGCCCTAGTTACGACTCCAGTGACGCCACCTGGGTCCACGACACCCAAGGCGGCCCCACTGCGGAACCCTGCTGTCACGACTGGAGGGGACCAGCGCGTGCAGCCGGAGTTACCAGGTTCTTCAGCACTAGGTGAGACTCGGACCCAGGCCGTTGAGACTCCGCCAGGTCAGTCCAAAAGTGTGAAGAACGGTCGTCAGCAGCGTGCTGAGGCACGAGCTGAGGCACGAGGGAGTCCAGGTGTGGTTCAAAAGGCTGTGGTATCTGAGCTACGGGGTAGCAAGGCACCAAACACCCAACGCACTCAGGTCGGACAGAAAGTTGTGCTGAATGGCATCCCTAACAGATGGGATGAACAAAATGAAACTCCTGGTCTGTACTTCTGTAACTCACGGGTCTGGCAGAATACACATGCTTGGGGCGGATACACTGTGAACAGGGAAGGCCGCGCTGTTGCCAACGCGACGACTTGGCGCAAATTGCCGGCTGGGATTCACTGGTATCGTCGCGTCTTACATACACTGGAGTCAGGGAACTTCGTGGAAAACGCATTTTACTTTCGAGATGGTAGTTCAGCGAAGGTACAACGTGTTTTCAACTGGTCTACACTCGAGCGCATCGTGTATGCTCACGACCCTGGTTACATTGCAGGCGACGGTGGGGCGAACCTCAGGGCCCTCTACTTGGCGCAGGCAACAGACGCGCCGATACTGGACTCGATAATTTAGTCCACAAGGGAAATGGTGGACATTCTGTACACTTACACTGTACATTCGATCTATCTAGTATAGTACCCCCTCCCTTCCGGGGTACTAGGCTGACTGACTACCCGTAGGCTGTCCCCTCTTCCACCTTCCATCCTGACCGCCCTAACTAACTAATCGCCTAACTGTCCCCCTCGCCTTCCCCCGTCCTGACCGCCCTAACTGACTAACCGCCTAACTGTTCCCCTTACCCTCCCCATCCTGACCGCCCTAACTGACTAACCGCCTAACTGTCCCCTTGCCCTCACCATCCTGACCGCCCTAACTAACTAACTGCCTGACCGGTCCTTCTATCCTCCCCGTCCTGACCGCCCTAACTAACTAACCGCCTGACCGTCACCCGCGTGACCTGCGGGGTACCATCTCCCCCAGTCTAACTGGCCTAACTAACTAACCGGCTGACTACGGTAGTAGCTAAAAGTACGGTCCGTGCGGCAAGTACAGTACCCGTACATTGCGGTTTAATACAGTACAAACTGTCCAGTAGTTGACGGTAGGGACAATGATTGGTGTCCTCACTCCTGTTGCGTGTTGGCAATCGATAGTGAGGGCCAACCAATCGGGAGCAACTTCATTGCTGGGGACCCAGGTCAGGATATGGTTGAGCCTTGCTCTGCACCCAGTGAGTTCTAATTGATAACCAGAGGACAGCTAAGCCAAAAATTTTGGGGAAAATGGAAGTACTCGACCAGCCATGAAGTAGCTCGACGATCCGTTATTCTGCAGATGACCAAGAAGTGTATACTTTGAAGCTTGCGCAAGTGGTAGCACCAGCGCCCTGGCGCCCCGTAGCAACGTGTAGCTTGATCCTGATTGTTGTTTCTTGGCGCTACTACAGTTGCTCGGCAGTACGCTGGAAAGCTGTTTCAATCTAGTGAATACGGTAACTTGATTTGTCAGATGGTTCGGACGGTCCGGCACAGATCGGTCAATCTCGTTCTGACTCAGCAACATGTCTAGAGTTGAATTATGTGCGCTGTAAAATGGTTTACCAGAGTAGAGGACTTTGATAGTCCAGCGAAAGGCCAACCACGTCTGGCCTGCGCTACGTACGTCAGGGCGCTACGCAAAGGCACCGTGACAGCGCGAGGAATTTTAGCCTCTGATGTAAATTCCCATAGAGCTGCCATGCCGATGGGTCTCGAATCCGGGCAAGCAGCCCACGGTAGCCTCCCATGGGAATTTTTCCAACAGTAACCCGAGCCTTTAGCCTTCTTGATAACTGGACACCTATTCTGGTCTCTGCCAAGAAGTCTCTCTCCTTACAAGCTCGCACCTGAAGCGGGGCCAGAGGCAGTCTGAACTCAAGAAAGAGGACTTCCATCAATCCGATCTTTTGAGTCCTTGCTGCACAGGCTGTTTCCAGACTGGAACTATCCAAGAGGATGATTCGACAAAGTTTCGCAGGTGGTTCCGAGATTTTGTTACTTCCTCGCTTCGCAGAGTCAAACACTTGGTTTATGGGTCTTGTCAGCGTGTCCACGAAGGTCGACAATGTTGGCGTGGGCAAGGCAATCGTCCAGGCGTGCTTGGAGGGAGCGGAAAAACAGGGGGCGAAGTCGCTGCGCTTGCTGCAGGTGAGCACGTTGCCACGTAACCACGTTCGTCACTTCCAAGCTGGGTAGAATTCTGGTTAGCTGGTCTTCTGCCGAATGACCTGAACCACAGATGATGAAGAGCAGGTTAATCCTACCTTTTTCTGAATGCTATTGATCAGAGGTACGGTGATGGAATCAACACGCAATATGCTCGGCCCCAGATCAGCTGCAACATCTGACACTTCTGTCGCTAGAAGAGAAGTACGTCAGATTTGACAATCTGGCGACTCCTACTCCGAAAGTTCTGGGCTCTGTGTTTCGTTCTGCTGTTTTGCAAGCTACTAGCGATTCGATTTAGTTCGGTGGTTAGGCTGCGTATGGGTGCGGAGCCGGTTTCCTGTTTGGGTTGGGGTTTTCAGTGACAGTCGGAACTTCGTATTATCTTGGCTTATTGCAAATTTTCTTGAGTTTTTATCCCTGCGCCACGTCAGGCTGGTTGATCGGCTCTCTTGACAGGGGCTTCCGTAACTGCGGCTCGTCAGAATCAGCCGAACTTCCTAGCTGAGTCCTGGCTCTTGACCCATTTAAACGGATCCAGTGCGCCGGAAGCCATGTACTTCACCCAGTTCCCTCTTGCTTCGCAGAACGTCGCCAACGCCAAGAGCTTCTCCCTTTATGCTAAGCTCGGCTTCGAGCCCAAGTTCGTTGCCACGTATTTCGAGGGGTTCCCCAAATATCCGGCGCCGACGTGCGACGATTACACTGTTCGGACGCTCCAGGAGGGAGACGTCGCTGGATGCACGGCACTCTTCTCCGCCGCAAACGGCTTTTCGATCGCCGAGACTTTATCGGCTCACACCAAGGGGTGGCCGTTCTCGATGTTTGTGGCAGTCAAGGACGGGGAGGTTGTGTGAGAGCCCATAGCCGCCCTCTTCATTGGTTTTCTCTGTCCGTCCGGAAAATTCCGTTTGTTTCTTCGTCCTCGCTTTGCATGCATCTCAAAGTTAAGCCTCTTTCCTCCTTCGTTTGACCTTCTTCTCGTCCCTGCTTTCCTTGTTCCAAATTTCTCCGTTGTTACTTTCCCTCCTCCTCTTTTCGAAGCGTGTATTTGAACGGAACATGAACGATTCAAAGTGTCAACGCAAGAATGTGCTCTGTGAAGTGGATTGTTGAAAGGACTTCTTCCTCGAGGTCTCGAATCCGTGAGAACAACGAGCAGTGACCTTTGTTGGAAACAGCGCGGGCTCATCAGTGGATGGGCTCGCTATAGTACACCGATAGCGAATTGCCTGACCGCATCTTGCAACATAACAGAGCGCCACAAATGCCGCAGCAAATGCTTACCGACTCTGTCGGGGAGCCCACTGCCAAACCGTTGAGAAAGGACGATCCGATCAAGACAGTTTGTAACTTAGATTTACCGCCAGAGATATACAAGTGGTGGCAGAAGGCGACAGCGTCCGATCTTTCGCCTCATCTCCCCTTCTGAGCTCTCCAGAAAGCTGTGTCTCCACTCATCCCGATGCCAAGATTTTCAAATCTGTTCTCGGAAACACATCTCCTTTCGTTCCTTCGCTTTGCCTTTGTCTTTATCTGGTTCGCAATTCATGCAGGGCCGCGCACGCTACTAAACCGAGTTACGCTGATCCATGTCCTAACCATTTTGCTTGTTCCTGTTCGCGACAAGCGGCCCACAATACTGTCACAGGGGGGTTCGGCTGCAAACCAGGTTCGCTAACTAATCTCCAGTCTGCTTCTTTGACCAATAACAGCCATGTTAGAAACCTGGTCACTGCTCGAGTCTGGTCATTAACAGTTGACCAGCTTCGAACCAGTCCGTAACCGGCTAGGGTTAACCGCCAAAAAACGGTGTGTGTTCGCTTGCTATGCTTGGCAGGGCCTACACCACAGGCTTCATGCTGATGGGTCACACCGTTGCAAAGGACGACGAGGCGTTCATCGCTCTCTTCAGCGGCGCGAGCTCTGCTTTGCGCGACAAGAGCACTACCCCGCCCAGCTTTCACCTGCCCGTCGCGACTCACCCCGAGCTATGCCGCTGGTGCCTCTCAGTCGGGCTGAGGATAGTGAGGTGAGAGCTTCGTCCTGCGGAAGTGGTGTCTTTCAGTAGTCTCAATTTTATGTTGACTTAGATCATGCCCGGGAGACGGGTGGGGTTGCTTTGGGGGTTCAGGGTGGGTACGGGTGCAGGGCATGTTAACTTCGGTTTTAAGTTCTTAGTTTGTTTGAGCCCGGGGACTTGAACTAATTCAACATAGACCTTACTCAACACAAAATCGAGATTCATAAGTCTTTTGACAGGATGCTGCGAGTCTGTGCCTTTGCAAGGACGTTTTCTCGGCAGTCGCTGTCATCGCCTCATCCGATGCGCTAACTGGGGGCTCGTGGGCGGCACTGTTCCCTCTCTAGTTTCCACCAGGACTGACGGCTTTCCGTCCATTCCGGAGAAAAGTTTTGCGTCTTTGAGCCGACGGACTTTCGAGATGCATCCGACGTTGTGACGGGTCGGTGTGCAGAAACAACTGGGCAATGGTCAAGGGAACGTACAAGGAGTTGCCAAAACAGCCCTTGTATTGTCCAAGTTGCGACTGGCAGTGATCGACGTGTTTTGAGTGTCAGATCGAAGGAAGATGGAGCCAGCAATTTCCAAGAATGTTAAAAATGTGTCGTAATCTGCTTCAATTGCTGGTTGGCGAAATGGGACACGGTGATTTGTCCTGGATAGCTAGTTGCTAGCTAGTTTTAACGCGTGGATTCAGGCCGGGCGGAGTTCTCATATACTAATTGTATGCATCATAGCGCGCGTCAAAAAGGAGTCAGGTCGATTCCGGTCATCTTAGCTAGAGTCAAGGCTTCGATAAGATTCATTGTTGCTTGGGCCAGTGTATAGAGCTGTGGAGGTTATCAGGAAAGAAAGACAAGTACTGCAGGCACGTCTGTACTCTTGTGCAATGGGCGGCACGCGCGTATAGAATTGCTTATAACGGTGTACGATGCCACTAGTTGTTCAGTGCATGCATTATCTGGATCGGAAGCATGCAGCCTTGTTGACCTCGCGGGGGTACGTCCAACTAACGGGCATGAACATTGAATGTTACTCGGTACAACACACCCTCAAGAAGTAGCTATAACTCACTGTCTACGGCACGGTGACTGTACACCAAGACCGCGTATGCCAATGCAACCGGACTGGCACAGCGACACTAATCATTGACTGAACTTACAAGGTATTATGGACGTGCAATATACACAATCAATAAAGCAGATTGACATATCTAATGTACGGGTCCCATCATGGCATGAAGTTTATAGTAGATTTACCCAAATCCGACAGCTCGGCAGCAGCAGTAATGAATCTTAGCTGCAACTTCAAGCTCCCATTGATTATACATACCGGTACATGGCAGGGCGGAGGCTAACTCAGTAGCAGCAGCTTATGCAGCATTATGTCATGACATAATCAGTTGTTGTGGATATCACACTGCATGATGGCTGCGATCGGCTCTAGCTTTGAATTATCATGAATGGATCGGACTTACGAAGAATGTTAAGGTACGTGGTCAAAAGCGCTCCGACTTGTGCACGTATTTGATTCCATGCAGTTCTCTTCTCTAGTCAATTGAATCCAAGTAGGCCGGGCCCCGGCGGACGGGTCCTTCTTCTGCTATTAGTTCTGATATGATCTTACGTTATTAAAATCTCTGCATCTAAACGATCTCTGATGAAGTCTGGAATCCACAAATTGACAGTGAGTCGCCGTAATGAATGAAATTGCCTTTGAACATGACAGTCATTGAAATTATAACAGACTCATTGAGTGACCGTCCATAGTACGTACGTCATCGCATGATACGCATCCGATCAGCCTAGTCATGTGTGCGCGGTTGGTAATGAAGAGTTCAACAAGTCACGTACGATTACCATCATACGTGCAACAGCCACAGGCCCATGTGGCATGCTGATTAATTCCAACTCAAACCAAGGCTCAATCGTTGAATGCTTTGATCAGTGGGACCGTACGGTTTCAAGCGGCCGTTGTTTCCGCTCTAGCTCAGATTAAATTAGGAAGGACGATTGAATGGATTGTAGCGAGCCTGCAGATGCAGTGTGAAATGGCGTGCATGCCGGCTACATCATATGGTGAACTGATGGGGAAACATGCGTCGGTTTATGTATGGCATGCCAGTATACATAAGTCGGACCGTGACTGTCATGCGTGGTTATGACCAAGGAATACTTCCGAAGTTCTCACAGGCACGCCACTGCGCATTCACTTAATGTGAGGCCCGGGATGGTGCTCATCATTGCCTTGCCAGATTTGCGTAGAACCGTATACAAGGCAGCAGCTATTGTGAAAGTTGCTCATGCACGAACTCAGGACCGTTGGCAGTGCGCGGCGGACAGAGCACATCCATGTTTAAGACGACGGCGATACACTCGCTTACTTTCTCCCCTTAAGAAGCTAAGAAGGCACCGGAGACGCGGCCCAGCTCGCCCGCCGCATGTGCGTCGCCCGACCCCCGCTCGCGACTCCCCCGTTCCTCTCGATCGCTAGCCGCTTGTTTTCTATCCGAACGGCTTCCTGCAGCGCTTTCTCCGCCTTTTTCAGACTCCCGTCTATTCTCTGCCTTTCGTGGCGTAGAGTGCCCACTCGTCTCAGGAGCACCACCGAGGGCACGTGGCGTCTTTGGAAGCTGTCGTCGTCCGAATCCTCGCCCGCGTCCGGCGCGTCCGAACTTGGGCGGCGGGAAAGCCTCGCTATAAGGCCCGCAGGCGTTGACGGCTGGGAGTCAAAAATAGCAATGGTTAGATAAATTGCAGAAAGTTGCATTCGTGGTAAGCACCTCCGCGTACTTCCAAAAATCGTCTGATGTGCTTGACCGGACACTATGTTTCATTGCGCGTCCGAAGTTGGGCGTCGAGAAAGCCTCCGTTGTGGCCTCGTGCGTCGACTATTGGAGAACGAAGAGTATCAGTCAGTCGCGACGTTGTATTGCCCCGTGGATCACTGCTCTATCAGCGAACAAGCGTGCACGCTTTGGTCGAAATCTGATTGCAACTATGGTAGCCAATCCGTCGTGCTGATTGTTCTCGACCCAAAAAGGGTTCCGATGTCCTGAGAAGGATCACGTCTGAATCGAGGGCGTCAACGACCGGCTTCGCTCACGACTTTGCTGACGAATCAGGCGTGACAATCATCTCTGAAGGAGATAGCTTTTCTCTCACCTCTTGACCAGTGTATTGCGAGACGGGAGTTACGGGACCCTCCAGAACACTGGTACTATCCGCAAAGAGACCGCTTTCTGAATTGGAGGGGATCCGATCCAAGGGGACGTCTTTCAGTTGCAGCAGCGACGCAAGCTGGGCCTCAGCTCGAGCCTGCAGGATGAAAGACGCGTTCAGCAAAAAGGGGCGACACGTGTCGATTTTCCTGGATGTTACGTGGCGGGGCGGGTCTGCGAAGGCGGAGGCACCGGGCAAAGGCATAACGCCTTTCTCAGGCGCCTGCAACTTTGTCTCCAACAATGCTTCTCAGTCTAGCAGCGAGCTTGTTGCCTTTTGATAGGCAAAGGGGAGGGCCTCTGGCGGGAACTTAAACTCGCATTGGACAAGGCCGGGGTTCCATTTCCAGACCAATGGAGTGCTTCCTTTTACCACGTGGGTTCACGGCGTGTCTACCTGCTCGTCCTTTGACCAGGAACGATAACGTCCTCAGACTAGGGTCGAAACAAGCACCGGAGAGTCAACCCACTTGCGTCGACGCGGCCGGTTTCAAGGTTCCTAGAATCAGTGAAAATTCAAGCACCCGCTCTCACCTGTGTCTGCAGCGCAGAGGCCATCCGCCTAACTTCCCAATCACTTAGGAGAGTAAGGCTAAGTAAACGTTCGATTGTTGTTTACCCAGCGAGTTGACGCGTTTAGCTAGTCAGGCTATACCTAATTGCGAAGATTGCGCAGCTCCGTTATGGTCACACGCAAGCCGAATCAGCCGTCAGAGAATAGCACTTCGGACCCTAAAGGCTGCCCTGTGCCCGCAGCGCAGACGCTCGCCCATTTCGCCAGCTCCACTTTGCAGGTCACCAATAAACCAAATCTGCGCTCGAAGAGTGACATTCGAGACCCTAAGAACACTTAACAAGCCAAATCTGCGCTTTAAAGAGTGACACTCGAACACGAAGAACACTCAACACATCCAACTGCGCTTGAAAATTGGGACACTAAGAGCACTCAACAAACCAAATCTGCGCTTGAAATGTGGCACTCAGAACAGAGAAAACACTAATCACCTGCGCTTGGAGCGCAAAGGCCAGACGTGTTTCCAGCTCCACGCGCGCTTTCTCCCACGCCTCTGCGGCCGCCTGGCCGGCGTCAGCAGCGGCGTCGATCTCGTTTGCCGCGGTGGCGGCCTCTTCCGCGAGCAGCTCGTATTCTGCAAAACGCATCGGATAGTCTGTAAGCTAGACAATATCTAGAAGAACCGCAGGACTGTCTGATATTATGTGGTGGCAAATCTCTATCTGCCGACGAGATCGTCAAGCTCCGCGAGCAGCTCGTATTCTGCAGAAACGTATCGGACATCAAGTCAAATTGCGCGGGGAATTCAAAACCTCACTGAGCTTCCAAGCCTGGAAATTTGGAGGTAAGAATCATTGTCCTGAAACTCGACACTCTGCGTCCAGTAGATGAAATCCAACAACTTGCTTGTGGAAGAGTCTGTCTCTGATCGGCTTCGAAAAGAGACCCCTTTTCGAGGGACTGCCGGTTGACCGCACGCAGGACACTGCTCAGCCTAGTCTGTGTTCTGGTCGTCCGCGCAAACTCATTCAGCGGTCTAATGAACGCGCAGAATACGACCTTTTCGCAAGGCTTGGCAAACTTGTTCGCAAATAGTCTTCTTGCTAATACTGATGCTCAAATACGCAGACACTTACTCCTTCTCTTGGATCAGCCAGCTTTCAGGTGCAGCATGCTGTCGAAAGGTAGACGTATCAGATTGATATCCTGAAGTATTACCGACTTTCTTGGAAGTTTTAGGGGTTTTCTTAGTAGGTTTTCTAGGTTTGATGTGGCACTTGCCTGCTTCCAGTCGCAGCATGCTGTCAAAGGGCAGGTCGACCCGCAGCGCTTTGGCGGGGATCTCTTCCAAGTCCGCCGGCGCTAGAGTATCCAGCTGGACCGACAGCTCCCGCCGAACGAAGTGCACAAAGTGCTCCGCCTCGATGCATTGCAGTAGCTGGCGCAGGCTGACCTGCGGGGAGAAGAAAAAGTCGATTCAGCCCAATCCCCATCGTCTTTGTTGAGTTGCCTTTAAGAGTAAGCGCGTTGTGTTTATCAAGATACATGCACTAAGCCGTCAAGGACGCTATTCTGCTTGTGCTAGTCAGCTTGGTGGGGTGGGGGGTGCAGAAACTGAAGAGGGAGCAACACCTTAAAGGGTGTCGTTTGGCATGCGGAGAGGTAAATAACAGGTATTGGAAGGAGCGAAATTACGAGAACAGGCATCGTGACAAGCATGGGAGCTTTGACAAAAGCTGTAGCAATGTTAGAGACGAGTTGACCTCCAAGGAGGTAAAAGGAGCGGACTCCCGTGGAAATGCCCAGTTTTTCTACAAACGTTTGACCATGTGACAAGCCCGACCGCCCCGCTTGGCCGTTCCGAAGGCTTGAAGCACAACCCAATCAAGATAAAGCGACAGCGAAATCAACATACGGGCTTGAGGAAGCAAGGTTTTCTTTTAGCCCACTGACGGACGAGACGCGAAGCTATTCTGTCGAATGGGCGGAGTCAGCAATGGCTGAACGACCGTAAGCGTCACCTATATAACAGCTTCACAAACCCTACGTGCATAAACAGAACTTTGTCTTTGGAAGACCTACAGCCTTGGAAAAGTTCAGAACCTTGGAACCGCAAAGCGTACTTGCCTGCAGCAGGACGAGCGCGGTGCGGAAGATCATGGCGGAGCTCCGCTCGGCGAGGATGACGTCAAGGACGCGGAACACGAGCGGAAGCGGAAGGGTGCTCGCGAACGCGGTCAGAAACCAGGGGGCCGCGTACATCACCTGCCACGTGACAGGCCGCCATTAGTCTTAATAAAGAGCGCGATCAGTGGCCGGAACAAAAGGCTACAACGGCCTCACTTCGCGTCAAGTGTGCTGTTCAAGCTTGAGGGCGGGCAAGCGGTTGGTAAAATGGTCCAAAGACATGGCGAAAGACTCGATTCAACATGCTTAAATTGCCGAAACAAGAGGCCCTGTATAGTGCCTCACTAACAGGCTCTCGGCTTTTCCATGCTCCCGTTGAGGGCTTTAAGCGGTTTCCACAGGGGTATTCGAGCAAAGTCTCGAGTACAAGTAACACTCAAAACTTTCCGAAACGCAGATGAAAAGGAGACAGCGGCTTTGGCAGGCAAAGCGGACAGGCGAAGTCGCGCTAGCCATGATCGTGTTGCAGCCGTCCGATCTTCATGTAACAACCCCAGTTTAGCTATGGGCAGCCCAGGCGCACCAGGACAGGTTTTCAAGAAGCTTCTGCATCAAGAATGGCACAACCCTTGTATAGCAACAAGTTTGTACTGTCCATCTTTGGATGTCCAAAGATGAACGGCCACGATACAATCTCGTGCTGTCCCCCAGCCACTTCTAATTTCTGCGCTCCGTCTGGAAAATTCTGTGCCGTTTCGGCCGAATCCTCAGCTCTTCCATGTGCAACTCCAAGTGCAACCACCTTTAGAGGGACTTTCGAGCAAAGCTCATAATCGCCGCGACCAAAGAAACCAACACTACAAAGACAAAAAGGCTTTGTTCTGCGCATCACCGGCCGGATCCCCACCTCTTCCATGTGCGCATCCCGCTTTAAGAAGCGCTTACAGAGCCTTTGGAACAAAAGCCTGTGTTCAAACAAATAGAAGATCGGAGGCTCCCGTCGCGAAAGAACGAGAGGCCTTGTTTTACGCCTCACCGGCCGAATCCCCAGCTCTTCCATGTGCGCATCCAGCTGCGGCAGGGCCTCTTGCACCAGCTGAGTCAGCTGGTACAGCCGGGCCTGGAGTTGGTCCATGTCCGGGAGGAAAGTCGCACGGAAACCGCAGCGGTACGTGGTGTGAATGAGCACCGCGAACGCGTCTTCTTCGCCCATGTGCATGAGAAAGATAGCGGCGAGGAAGGCCATGCCCTGGCAGTAGCCGACTTCGGGGTCGTAAGCCTGGTGGGAAAGGAGAAGCTTACTGGCTTAATGAATGATTTGATTTCTCTCTTTTCGGTTTTCCTTTTTTTTTTTGATGAAGAACCCGGTCGTCGCGGCTTGAAAAGGGCGTCGGAATGATGAGCGCGTACGCGTCAGAATTTGAACATTTGGAGTTGACGTGACAGCTGGAAGGACGAGCCCTGGCAATAGCCCACTTCGGGATGGTATGCCTGAAAGAGGACTAGACTTTTGGATCCAAGTATGAAGTGCAACTGTTGCGTCGACGTTGCCCTCTGAGGATTGACCGGTCCACTTGACCGCTACCCTGAGACCTCGTACTCTATCTGCGATTCTTTGAAGTAATCCGATTGGGGAATCAGGGCGCACGCAACCTGTTCGACAATTATTCGCTGGACATTTTGAGTTCTGCGCAGAAGAGGTGCCTTCAGGTTGGCAAAATCTTTAGGAAACTGTGAAGCCTCCCTGTTGGTTCTTGGCGCACGGGGTGAAATCATAGATTGTGTGCCGCATTGGACTTTCGAGATCCGGATCGAACACAATATAGCTTTCGGGAGTGCAGGTTGTTCGCAAAGATGGTTAACAAATCTTGTACGGAGCACCAGAATTTCTGAACGGTGGCCGACAATGTAAGTACATAGTCCAAAGTTGGCACAGACGAAACAAGGATTCGATCACCAAAATTAACAATCGTGCAAGGCATTGCTTCATCGAAGATTTCCTTAAGGCTACGCTTAATTTCAAACAACGCGAGACTCACCGCATACGCCTTCATCACGTTAAGCAGGGCCTTTTGACCCGGTCCGTCCTCCTCTTGGAACAGCGGATGCTCGGGAAACGTCCGGTTGATGTCGCGCTTGATCTCTCTACAGACAGAATCGTCAAGTTGAGATGCATATGCGAGCACGCTTTCGGCTGCCCGTAAATGCTCTTCCAAGATTGACCACAAAGATGCTTGAGACCGTTTCTCGATCGGAATGCGCGTAGGGACTATGCAGATACGCGAACTGGGAACGCGTCAACTTACGGATCTTGATCTAGTTTCAGGGCGATGAAGCTCGCGTACCGGCGCTTCGCGTCGACGATGTCCTGCACCACGCCAAGCAATGACGTCAGGCTGACGGCTGTGAAACATGAAGCACACTAACCGGTCAGGTAATCCGTTACAACAAACGCAATTTAACCCGTCAGCAAACCGTCACTGCCGCATTCCCCGACGTCGCACTGATCAATATCCTACTACTTAGCTGGTTCAAAGCGTATGGCTTTATGATACCCGCCACCGATACGGCGCCGCGCTTTTAGGGTTTTAGGGCTATGCATACATGTGTTACTGAGACAGCCTGCTATTTGAAGCTGAGCAATGTAAACGCAGAGTCTTTGTGCCAATCCCGACTTCTCAAACACGCTCCCTTAAAATTTTCCATACAGGACCCCTTCAACCCGTCCAAAAATCTAGCGCGGACTTGGAAAGATGGATGATCCCTGCACTATCCCTTCTTCCAAGTAGCTCGAAATGAAACCCACCTGCGCATCTTGTAGTGCCAGCGCCAGCCAGGCCGCGCCGCGCTTTGCCGGAGGCAGCTCCCCTGCACGGACCGCCGAACTGAGGGCGTCCATGTCCGGCTTCTGCAGACACGTTCGGACGTCCGTGTCAAGACGCAATGCTCCAAAGCGCAACGGAAGTTTAAAAACACTGACCGTTACTCTGCCTCGATTTTTCAAAATGGCCCGCTAAGACCTTTGGTTGATTGCTGGTTAGTAGCCAACGCAAAAGTTTCAGAATATCAGCGGAAAAATACGAAACGAGACCACTGCCATACCAGCCCATATAATGATTCTTCTGAGGCCCAAGCGCTTTACCAACCGTTAATGGCAGCCGCAGCAGAAAGTCGAGGAGTGTTCCACGGGTACTGCAGAAAGCATCGAACTCTTGATCGATAATGTATACCGTACAGCAGAATCTTTTAATAACAGGGAAAATACTGTGTAAACGGGCATGCTAACCCTTCGATGTCATGCCGCTTAAACGCAGGTTAAGAAGACGGTTAAAACGCAGGTTAAGAAACGCTGCCGTTCCTAACCCTCACCCGCGGCCCGGACTTGTCTTTGCTGCGGCTCCCGAGCGCCATCTTCATCTTGCTCCACATGCTGCGCACGCGCTTTCCACCCACGTGGGCCGCCTCCGCGGCCGCGGTCGCAGCGCTGATGCCGCTGCATGACGTCACACGCGATCGAAACGACGTCAGGCTGTATGCCTGGGCGCCCTCACTATTCATTTCATACAGCAGCAGAAAACGAGAGAAAGAGGACAGAACAACCATGGAGGGAAGGCCAGAAAAAGGAGTGGAAGCAGAAGCCCACTGGACGAAGAAACGCACCTGAGAGACCCTGAAAAATCGCGAAACACTTAACTGTGTATAACCAGAGAGCGAATGCGAGCGAAGGAAGGGCAATAAGCAGTGGCCTCTATATCCTGTCTGGATGGGCTGTCAACGGTCCAAGCCACTTGTCAAGCAGGCCAGAGCAAGCTTTCCTGATGCGGCGCGGACGCTCCCGATCCGAAATCGGTGTCAGCTCGGGTTGCCACTCAAAAATCAACTTCCCTTCGGCTGAAAGAGGGCGTTGGACTGCCTGGAAAATGTCAGCATAATCGGCAAGTGCGCTTGACTTTCATCAGGAAGTCGAGCGATCGAGATTCACTCGGACCAAGTTTTCTCCTTTTCTTCGCACACATTGGGTTTATCAGTTTCCACAACCGACGTGGGAAGACCTACTGAAAAACAGAAAGGCGCAGTATGCGGCTAACTTCAAGAACAAAGGGCACAGGCCTTCAATGTGATTGAGTGACGCGTCGAGCACAGCGCACCTTTCGTTCCTCTCCAGGACCGCTCTCTGCGCCCTCCGCTGCGCCGAACTCGCGGGGGCCTTCGCCCGGGGGGGATCCTCCGCCAGCCTTTCCAGCCCCCCTGGGAGCCCCGATTTCGCGCGCTGCCTCCGTCCGGCCCTCATCCTTCTCTCCGCATCGCTTCCGTTCAAATCCTCCGCGCCTAGATCTTTCGCGCTTACCGAGCCCCCGAAATCACTCACCCCGCTTTTCTGTGCCTGAGAGATAACTAGAGCGGTGAGGGACCCAGAACGGATCAACGGGCCCCGCCTCCGCAGGACCAGTGGCTGCATGCCACGTGGCAGCTCGTCGGACGTCGGTCGCGGGGGCCGCGAGTGGACGGTCCGAACGGAGACTACTCGAGAAAAGGACGGAGGGGTTTTGACAAGGGAACCGGTCGCTTTTGGAGGGGGAGAGGCTGAAGGAAGGTCGGCCCAGGGGGAGCGCTTGGGGGGTTGGGATTTGCGGCTGCCGGGGGGGGAGTCCTGAGCTGGCGCGAGGGAGTCGTTTTGGCGCTGGACCTGAAGAAAAGGCGAGAGCAGGTTGATTTCTAAGCTGCAAGTCGCACTCGACTTTCGTTTTGAAGAAGGCCGTTTAAGCTTGAGCGAGAAATTCGCTTTGGCGCTCGATTTGAGGGAACGACAAGAGCACTTTGGGTTCTGACTTCGACTCGTGATCTGCACAGGACAAGCGATGCATGAAGAAAGATGTTGAAGCAACTTGTGGAGCAGACTGACGATTCTGGCACACCTCAGTGGTACTGGCTGACCGATTTAGAGCGCTGGGGGACGAAGTATGGTACGCAAACCACAATAAGCTCAGAGATCTACATTCAAAGACGGTCAATGCTCGGCGCTCTGGCAAAGCGCTTCAGGATCGGTGACTCGGAAGCGGAAAGGAAAGTGGCCGAGCAGTCTGACCGGTTTTCAAAAGGTATGTTGATGGTTTACGACAAGAGCTCCCAGAGGCCATTCCCAGGGCAGACTTTCTCAGAAGGGAGCTCCTTAAGAACCCGTCGAGCGGGCGGTGTATTGAGGGCATGCCGGAAACATTCGTACCCAAACGTTTCCCTTAACTTGATCAATATGGACAAAAGACCGGAGAAAAAGGTGATTTACTTCACAAACAGTCCCCTTACACACGGCCCACATCCAGCAAACCGTATATGAGAGGGTTGTCAAACTCACACAAGTTTGTAAGAGTTTGAAGGGAAGGGTTACATGGAAGAAACCCCACCTTGAGCAGCGTGATCTCTTCGTGCAAATATTGCAGCCAGGTGTCGCGCATCGATTGGCTGTACTCGACCTGTTCGCCAACGCGCTGCGGCCTGCAGGAGGGTAAATTATTTGTGCAAATAATAAACAATAAAAATCTATTATTCGCACAATTGTTGGAACCAGCGGGCATGGCAACTTGACGGGGTGTTGTTCGTCCAGAGTTCTGTGGGATTTAAGACCTCAATGGGGCGCAATTCTTCACTCTTGCTTTCAAAATTCACACCCCTCAATGTATACTGCGTCTGACTCTAAATTCGCCCTCTTCTTTTGCCACGAAGTCTTACTGCCTAGACAAGGCGACCAGAACGAAGTCTCTGAGGGCACCATGCAATGTCGTCGACTTGGCCAGATTCACTTGACGCACTGGCAAGTATAGCGGGTGAATGATATTCCCAACCAAACGTATTTGTAGAGGGTTTGAGAATCCACAGCTATACGAGGGAGGGAGGGACAACTTCTGTCTGTGGCAATTTGTTCTTGCTTCACTTCGGTCACTGATGGCCTGCCACAAATGTCCAACGTCTTCAGTGGAGGATTCTCATTCTAGGTTTCCTCCACCCCTTCTGAGTCTGGGTTCATTGCTAGTGAAAAATCTGCATCAAATCCACCTTGTTGATTAGTCAACATAGAGGAATCTCTAAGTGAATAACCCTCAGAAGTTATTGTGGCAAATGAAAAGCTTGCTGCTCACTCTGGGGGCATTTCATCATGTGCAACCTCTGCTTCCCTTGCTTCCTCTGGAGCATCTCCAGAGACGGTTCCTGCAACAAACAAAGACAGGTTTCGTAACAAGCTGTAGAGTGCGAGTCCAGATTTGATCCTGGTTTAGCTTAACGAAAGCCCGTAAGAGAAATCTAACCTAGGTTTTAGAGTATGGTAACCTTCAGTACTGTTCAATCCTCGGGGCTCAAGGCTCTTCTAGTCAAGTTGTGACGATGATTCATCCCAAGGGAAGAACGGATGATGATGACTAATCATGCCAAGAGAGTTGCTCTTAGTCCAGTCTTTGATGGTGGCTTGTTGATAACCTTCTCAAAGCGCCAGACTATGTAGCCGTCTATGACCAAGGCAAAGTATTTTTGATAGCCTCTTGGTCTTTTGACAACATGAAACCTCGTCCTCTTGTTTTGAACAAGTCCAAAAGAAACCTTATGACATCTGAGATTTGTAATTTGCAGACTCCTGCTCCCACCGCTTGCTTACGAAGAAATCAATCCTTCTTCCAAAAAAAACTTTCTAGAACACCTTTTCATAACTTCCAGCAGGATTTTGTGTAATACCAAACGTCTCACCTTCCGAGTGCAAAAGCTCTCCATGCTTCTGGTTGACAATTGCGCTGTAGAACGCGACCCGCGCCCTCGACCAAAAGCTTGCGGGTTCCAGCACCGCCTCGTTCTCAATTGGCTCCTGATTCTCAGACGGTTCCGGAGTTGCCAACGAGTGGCTCCCCATACTAGTTCCACTGCAAGGATGAAGATGCACCTTTTTTCTCGAGGCGAAGCTAAGCTTTGAGGTGGTCGATCACAGTCGGCAAAGTCGTCGACTATTTAAACTTCAAGTGGTTCGGACCGTGTCTTTGAAAGCGCACTGTTCTGGATTCTAATTGCTTGTTGCAATTCTTAACAAAACCAAACGGAGAGTTCAGAGGTGTGAAATCTCCCCCCATTATGCTGTAACTGCAATCAACAAGATGCTGCAGAAGGGAACCAGAAGAAGCATCTTCTCAACACAACAAGGACGCAGAGTTCAGAGGGCACTTTGATTTGCAAAGTCTGCCCCCATTTTGCCTCAAGAATAATATTCTGCAAGGAGCAAGTGAAGCTGCAATGGAGAGGCCTCCTTGAAATTAGTGGTCGAAAGCACTGTCCACATTCAGATGGCAACCTTGTTATGGATCTCCCTGGGGCTGTAGTTGACATATTGCAGCATTGCAAGCAAGACACTGCTTATGTTTCTACTCCATTGCGGAGAACGAAAGATCAGAGGATCTAACTCAATTATCATTCTAAAGTGTCAGAAAGCAACTGAAGAGAACTAGTCACCAGTCATAATCAACAGCAACTTAGCATGAAAGCGCTTTGTTCACAGACAACGGCTAAATCAAGCAATTGCCCAGTCTTTCGGGCGACCACTACGCTTTGTTCAAAGCGAGCCATCAACCACCAGAAGTGGACGTGCGAAAGGTGGTCACATTACACAATTGATCGAGTCTGACCTCACAAGTTTGAAAAAGTGACATAACTCCGCATGGGCTCATTGGTGTTCCTCACCTGCAGCTTCAACTCTCAATTGTTTTCAAACTCTACAACTAAGCCCCCGTCAGCAGTTTAAGGTGAAGCTCATTTCCAGAGATACTTTTGTGTCCACAAAAAAGGCAGCCTGGAATAGTTCAGCTACTTTGATGCCCAATGCCCCATGCCCCTGGTCTGTAATATAGACAAGTGTTTCGCGAGGTGGTGCAATTTACCAAGCTCCCTTTTCCCTAGCAGCCAAGTCTGACTCTCTTCCTGCAATCTTACACAAACCTCATTTGCTGTTCTGCAAGAGTGTCATCACCGGCTTGTTCGCAAGCGACTCCGCCACGCAGACAGGTGGCACTTCCTGGGCAGCTCAGATCCAGCAAATGTGCCCTTCGTAGAGAGACAACCAGCATTGCATGAAAGATTCTAGTATGAAGTTGCCGTCTCTGCTACGAACCCAAATGTTGCGCCTCTGCACCTAGGATTAGGCTTGTATCATGCTGGCATGGCAGCTGCTGTTGTCATGAACAAGCTAGGGAAGCTGGCGCCCCAAATGCATGTTTGAAGGGGTCATCCGGTTGCAACCGTCTAACCTAGTGGTTAAGGTCCAAACTGAGAAACTCCTGTGATTCTCCAATGGTCGCGGGTTCAATCCCTGGCTCCGACGCCAGCCTGTTGCATAAGCTCACGTACCGGCAGTCGGCTGATGTCTACTTTTGGCTATGTGCCTAGCACCTCGACCGTTCAAGTAGTTGGCACCATTTCTCAACGACGGTCTTGTAGTCTTGCATACATAGTGCTTTGAATTCTCACTCAGTTCAAACTTGAAAATGTCCGGAACACGATCATCGTCATGTATGCAAAGCCTGCCTCAATCATGTAATTGTCGACCTCGCATCGGTCACTGGAAGGATTCCGTCTCTGGTTTCTCCGTTCAATTGAATCGGCCCGGTCGATGCGTACAAGGAATCATGCATGAAAGCAACTTATGGAAGTAGGCCGTAGGCATGTAGTAACTGCGGCCGCTTGAGTCGAGCTTATACGCGCCCCTAAGCTTGCGCTCGTGAAACCCGAGGCAGTTGGGGCACCACATACTGAGAGGCTTTCAAAGTGTGCCATGTGAAATTTGTGTTTGAATGGGTCTCATGTCAGATTAAAATCTGCCCAAGATTCAAATCTATCCTCATCAGCAGATTACCAAGTCCCTTCATCCTTCCGGAGTGATTCTGCGTTCGATCTGAGCTGAAAACATTCATATCACAGACTCAACGCAGGTGACGGTCCGTGCTCCTCAAAACTCCCCACTCAATGACTGCACAAAGTTGCGAATCCTCGGCGCGGACTGTCGATCGTCGCCAGTGTATCCCCCTTCTGCGAGCAACGGTTGCGACGCTTCCGGAGTCGGCAGTGCCGGCCGATCCGCCTGAAGCAAAGGGCTGTAGTAACGGAGCTCGTGTCCGTTCCCCCCGGTCAGAAAGTGGGCGGTGGTTATGGTCTCGTTGTTGGGGCGCTTGGACGCGTTGATCATGACACCGCATCTGCGGGACGAGGGCGTGTCAGGCCAAACTTGGGAGGATAGTGTCAAAGGTTGAGTGTGGGGGGGTTTGTTTCCTAACACGTTAACCAGGGCAAAGTCTCTTTACGGACTCATCATGGGAGCGCTGAAAATGGGCGGCACTTAACAAGGAGCATCTACTAGCAAAAGCATAGAGAGCTAGTGTAAAATGGAACCAAAGTCGAATCCAGATCGCAAGCGGACTCCTGCTAAGAAACATGCATAGACAAGCAAGCTTTCAAGATGAAAACTGTCATCAAGATTCAAGAAGTTGTGCCGTTCCTGCGAGACAATTCCTCAAGATTGGCGCCATCGACGGCGAGGAATATCAGATCCTTTGCTCAGTAGCTAAAACGTAGGGCTCTCAAAAATGCAACCAGAGTGCGACCAACTTTTCTTGAGGAAGGCGTGACATTGAGTAAGAGAGCGGCACGCTGGTCTCCTTCTGAAAGCGACCTGTCTAGATACAAGCTGGTCTTTGCTATAACTGGCCGAAGTGACCACGAAACAGAGGCATGACTAGCGTGAAGCGACTGACCAGGCTGCCCGTCTCCTTTTCGTAAACATCTTCGAAGTGCAAAGCGGAGTACTTTGACCATGTGCTATCGGCTTCGAACAAACCGAACATACAGAAGAGTTCTCTTTTCACTTGTGCAAAGAGTCAACAAGCCGCGAATTTAGCTGGTCAAGATACCCCCATATCCTCCCTATATCTCTGTTTTGTCGCATTTTGAGTAAACAACATGGCCGCAAAGCATCTTCGCCTTCAGACGCATTGCATCTCCGCAATATAACAGATTGAAGCCTCATTATTCACGCGGAGTCCGATTCTAGTCGGTGTGAATGGGCCCCATCGGAGTAATTGTGCGTCAAAAGGTCTGCCCAAAGCTTTCCCACCATTGTTAACGTTGATACTCCAGATTTTCTTGGGGGGTAAAATGCAGACCATCTCTCAAGACTCACGCAAAGTAGTTGGTGAGAATGGGCCCGGTCTAAGAGACTGGCGTCAGAAAGATGTACCCGAAGCTTTCCCACCACTCTTAACATTGACACTCCGCTTCTTTTGCGAAAGAAAAAACAGACTAAGTCTCAAGACTTACGCAAAGTAGAACTTTGGTGAGAATGGCCCCCGTCTCCTCCCGGTCGAAGCGGTGGACCATCTTCCGGACGTCCTTGTACACCCCGGGCGTGTCGCGGACGTCCGCGGGCAGGCCCAGCGACTCGCTTGCGGCGGCCACGACCACTCCGTTCTTTAGCCCGAGGTCGCCGTCGAGGTGCCCAAACGCGTGCACCTGCCAGCAAGAGGATTTCACTACACCGTCTCTCCAGAAAAGGGAGTCAGAGTCCAGAAAGAGTATAGGCTGCGGAAAGAAACAACCGGTGAATCGAAAACAAACCGGTAAAACGATTTGTCTTTAATTCTGGTCAAGTGAGATCCGCAGATAGCAAAAAGGGCATGGGAATTTTCCGAGGACGCGGATTGCGAGACTGGGGAATTTCATTGTCGAAAAAGAAAGTCTAGCTGACGGTCTATCGAAGCGTCAGGTGTTTACGAAGCAAACCGCTGATTCACGATCATGCAGAGGTTCCGACTCCTGGCTTTTGGAATGGCAGGATTCCGGCAAGCACTCCCAGCGAACGAAGTACGGGGGAAAGTTGTTTTTGGCAATCTCTGGGCATCCGAAATCTGGATCCGGACAGTTTAAAGAGAGAGGAACATATTGCTTACTAGGCGCATCTCCCCCGCGTCCATCCTTCTCGTCTTGGTATTCTCCTCGTTGACGTCGCCATACGCGCTGGTCCCAAACCAGCTGTTGACTCCCAGCATACGAGATGGGGTTTGTCAGCATAATGTGATTCGAACGGATGAAGCTGAATCTCAGACTTTTACTGGCAATACGGATTTTCAGTCGCCATGCGGCTACTGACGGATGTTGGAACAATGTGGCGGCCGGATGGCAGACATCGTTCAACCAGTCTCCCGCATGGCAGAGATCCACCTAGTTGCAAACATAAGTACCTTGAATTGAGGTTTGTTACGCACGTCTAACAAGCCTATCGGAAAAAGCGGGTCTCGCCGCTCCTATTTAGGATAGGGTGCCGCTCTTAATAACGCTTACCCATCATGTGCCGGATGGCTGCCGGTTA